GGAGGGTCACAGTGCCCTACCAGCTTACAAGCCAGCCTCCGCCCAGAGAAGGCACAACATGGCCGGCCAAGTTGCCGCCCGCACGGTGTTTCGATGTTCCACATTCTTCGTTGCAGTGTTTGTTTTATCGAGTTATATGTTACTGGCAAGGCTGTTCCTCCGAGTCTCCTGCTACACTGGCTGCGTGTTTCGTTGCTGAACGCCTTTGCAGGCATATATGGTTTTCCACTTCTCTGTGCTGCTCCCACGCACTAGCGCGCAAAGGTGCTGAGGCCACAACGCCTAAGTCGCTTGTACGTCTTCTCTGCCAGCTGCCAGCCTTGCCGCACAGCCACGTCGGGTCCAGCCATGTCCGGGCAACGTCAGGGAAAACGGGGACCAGAGTAAAGACAGGATGAATCAACGATGCTGCAATACAGTGAGCGGCTGCAATCAGGAACACTTACTTTTCAAAAGGGGTTCGGTCGTTCCTTAAGTGTGCATGCGTTCCGGTAACTACCTTTTGGGCGCTAGACAGGGACCTGGCCGACCCTTCGGACATCGTAGACTTACTTGGAAAAAATGCTTCGTTCCTGAATGTGCCGTTCCTTAGGTCTGGCCGGTGCTGCAATACACCATCCCGTTCAATCAATTGCTCTGCCTCATCAATCCGTGCCGGCACTCCTCTGCACTGCGGGAAGCACTCCCTTGGAAACGAGCACCCCGTGGACCTGCCTTTGAGCTGGTAAGCTCGTTTTGAACATAGGTTCTCTTGCATCAAGTCAGCTGGATGAGGAGGAGGAGGGTGAGGAGGATGAGGAGGAGGAGGAGGAGGAGAAGGAGACACAGGAAGATGAGGAGGAGGAGGAGGAGGAGGAGGAGGAGCGGGCAATCACACAGTCACTCTGTTCAATAAAGTGTCCAGTGAGGTTTCTTTTGAAAGCGAGCCACCCTCCATTTGTATAGCCTTTGCAGGTGTTTGCGCTTCTGGCCGCATGGATCATGGAAACCTGTAGCGACAGCTCCATTTTCAAACACAACCGCCGTCACGATCGGGTCCCAAGTCGGATCACCATTTTGCAAAAGAGCCGCCCCTGGCCATCTCTGCAACTGTTGGAAGCGTTGAAGGCGAATGCGCGCAACGCGAAAGCGAGATCCACTCTTTGAAGCACACCCGCACTCCATCCATGTGCCTGTTGGAGCTTTCGCTACGAGTGTGCGCGGCGCTGAGGCGAGAGTCGCAGTGTGAGAACCACCCGCATCTGCGCGGCGTTGAGGCGGTAGCCACACTCTGACTACGACCCGCCCTCCAGCACTGCAGCTGCTTGGCCCCTGGGTGTCCCGCCCGCGCCACGCATGCCTGAATTTTGACAAGGGCACCCTGCGCCTGCGAAGAGCAAACAATATGCCCCCACCGTAGTAGCTGGAAGTCTCTGGTTTGGGGTCGTCGTCGGGGCGGGCAGTCTCCCGGCGGCACGGCCAGGCCGCCGTGCCGACGCGCCCAGGGGTGCGCCGAGGAGGAGCCGCTGGAATGCCAGAAGTGGAGAGGGATGTGGAAGGAGGAGCCGGAGGAGGAGGCGCGCGTTCGAAAAGTGCAGCTCAAGCAGTGGCGAAGCGTCCTGGCGTGCCTAAACGCCTGCCAAGCCAGGTTCGAAGAACCGCTTGTGGTTTCCACGACATGTTCTCAGAGCATGTCTGGCTGTGACTGTCTTGTTTTGTTATTAGAACATGTTTGGGTTCTAAGAGCAGTTCGTGGTAGGACTATAGGAATGCAGGGACGGTCGGTCCCTGCTCAAGCAGCGGCTGCGCAGGGCGGAAAGGTGGAGGTGGAGGAGGAGGAACGCGACGGGCAAGAGGTTTAGCCAGGTCTGAAACGTCCGGCATCCTACCCCCTCCCGCCTATGGCTTCCGCTGCGCCGACTGTGTTGTCTGCATCCGCCAACGGGGGCCACGGCGGTCGCGAAACCTTCCAAAAAGGACCCCATCGCGCTGTGCCCAGTCAGAACAAGGAAGTTTTATGTTGTGTTGATTGGATGAGGAGGAGGATGTGGCCGATGAGCAAGAATCTGAGGAGGAGGGAGAGGATGCAGATGAGGAAGGAGGAGAAGGACGACGAGAAGGAACAACGGCAGCAGGAGCAGGAGCAGGAGGAGCGGAGGGAGCAGGAGGACTAGCGGAAGGCGGAGGAGTTGAGAATAACAGGGCGACGACAACGACGATGAAGGGTTCGAATGCAGAATTGTGACCCGCGCTAGGGCGAGAGCGCCAGTTTGGACGACCGGAGCAGAGCGCCGATTCTAAAACGAAGCCAACGCTTCAGCGGGAGCACCACGTTGAAACACTGGAAGCATTCCGATTGAAACAACTATATGACATCTCGAAACCTTATACGATTGGAAAATCGTATGCGGGAGACAACGGACCACGCTCGGACAAGATCCGAGAAGGGAGGAGAGTAGTATTCATATTGTGTGCTTGCTGAGGTTGGCGGGGGTGGGGAGGGGGAGAGGGAGGGGGGAAGGAGGGAGGAAGGAGGGAGGGAGGAGGGGTGGGAGGAGGAGGGGAGGGGGGAGGGAGGAGGGAGGGAGGGAGGGAGGGAGGGAGGGAGGGAGGGAGGGAGGGAGGGAGGAGGGGAGGAAGGAAAACAGTGTATGGTGGCAATTGGCGGCTTAAGGTATTGTGGTCTAAGTTGTGGAGATACGTTCGCACCCCTCCCTAAGGCCGCCTTCGTTGGCCGAGGGACCGTAATGTCAGCTTGCGATTGACAAATGAGACACCCCCCTGGGGCTGATGAATACACCCCGCGGGGCGAAAACAATCTTTTTAATCGCGCGCGCAAGGGGGTCGTCGCGGACGCCGTCGAGGGGATCATGCACCCCTCCTGCACGGCAGCCTCAGACGATTGCCCTACGTATCGAAGATGCTATAGGGATCGCATACGTCCGAGACGAACATCTTCCCACTCTCAGGTTGATAACTGACGTGACAGTCGTCGTCGACGTCGTCGTCGTCGACTACAGCGGGCAGGGCCTACGCAGCACCCCCTCCCACCATGGGGCACCTGCAATGCGTCGTCGTCTCGTTGCGTCATTGTTGCCTGCGTCGTCTTCGTCGTCGGTCGTCGTCGTCGGTCGTCGTCGCTGTCGCCGTCGTCGTCCTCGTCCTCGTCCTCGTCGTCGTTGTCGTCGTCGACTGCAGCGGGCCTACGCAGCACCCCCCCCATACGGCACAGTGGGCCTACGCAGCACCCCCCCCGCCCATACTGCATCCGCAGTGCGTCGTCGTCGCCGCCATCGTCGTCGCGTTGTCGTCGTCGTCGTCGTCGTCCTCGTCGTCGTTGTCGTCGTGGTCCATCGTCCGTCGTCCATCGTCCGTCGACTACAGCGGGCATGCGCAGCACCCCCCCCCCAATAGTGTATCCGCAGAACGCTGCGTTGTTGTCGTCCTCGTCGTCGTCGTCGTCGTCTTGGTCGTCGTCGTCCCTATGTCGCCGACTGTTCGAGTGCGTCGCCGTCCGTCGTCGTCGTCGTGGTCGTCGTCGTCGTGTTCGTCGTCGTCATCGTCCGTCGTCCGTCGTCCGTCGACTACGGCGGACATGCGCAGCACCCTCCCCCCCCCAATAGGCCATCCGCAGAATCGTGCGTCGTTGTCGTCCTCGTCGTCGTCGTCGTGTTGGTCGTCGTTGTCCCGTTGTCGCCGACTGTCCGAGTGCGTCGCCGTCCGTCGTCGTCGTCGTCGTCGTCATCGTCGTCGTGGTCGTTGTCTTCGTCGTCGTGCTCGTCGTCTTCGTCGTCGCCGTCAACGACTACAGCGGGCATGCGCAGCACTCCCGCTTCCCCCCAGCCATGGAGCATCCGCAGTGCGTCGTCGTCCGCCGTCGCCGTCGTCGTCGCGGGAGGGAGAAGGAGAAGGAGGAACCCTTTGTCCCTTCCGCTCCTCCCCTTTGTTCCCTTTCCCTGTTTGTAACCATGTTGGCACCGCCCGCCAGCCGCGGTGTTTCTTTCCCGCGCCTCCTTTTTTCTCGCCTGCGTGTAGCCATTTTGGCCCAACCGCCTCCGCTGAAGCGGCGCCACTTGCGTCGCGCCTGCCGCCCTCCTGCAGTCGGCCGGGCGTTGACGCCAATCACCGGCGCCGCCGCCGTGCGTTGCAATTTGGCGAGCGACCCCCCGCGATTCGCACGAAGAGGAACAATTTGTTTAATCGCGCGCTCTATTATTTTTGTTAGTCACAACCTGACATGAGAAGGGCCCCGGCCCCCTCCGGTGCCAATGGCGGTTTCATGGAGTTGGTGCACTGATGGGAGTGGTACCCCAGCAGCCACTATGATAGTAGCTGCCGAGGGGTAGCGCCAATGATGGTCACCGCAAGAGGGGCAGAGCCCTTATGATGGTCATCGCCACAAGATGAGCGGGAGGAGAGGCTGATGTCGGGGATCGTCTGGCCGCCCGTGAAGCCGAGGCTTGACCGCGGGGATCCTGAATGAGGAGAGTTCGAACGAAGTAAAAAACAGCGCCCGACCCTTGGGAGGAGGGGGAAAGGAGGGGAACATCAAAACCGAGTGCTTTGAAGTGAGGACATAAATCCCGGGGCCAACAAGTCCTTCATCAGGCAGGTTGGGGCGGAGGCAGGAACTGTCCGCCCCCGCTTGGGCGCAACACGGTGGAGCAAACCCGAAAAAACCCCGCAGCGAAAAGTCCCGTTTCGCCACGTTCGTCGGCCACGTTGGTCGGACAGCCTTGCTCACAAATTGTCAGGCAGCCTCGCCGCACGGAAAGGCGGGTACATCCAAAGGGGGGGGAGGTGCCAGAAGACCGCGCCCGAGGCGGTCGCCGCAACGGCGGCCGCCGCAGCGGCCGCCGCGGCGACGCGGCGAGGCCACGCCGGAGCCGCTCAGGGCGTGGGCTGGGGTGGCGCGGCCCTCCCCGAGCCACGGCGCCGAGCGCCGAGCAGCGGGCCCGAGGCCTCTGGGCCGAGCTCCGTCCGCCGCGCCGCCGCCGCCGCGGCCGCCGCGCCGCGCGCCTCGCGCGCCCCGCGCGCCTTGCGCGCGCGCGCGCTCCTCGCGCGCGCATGGCCGAGGCGGGCGGCGCCGGCCCCGACGAGGTGCTCGGGAGCCTGCGTGAGCTGCTCCGCGGCCAGCGCCGGCTGGAGCAGCTCGTGGCCAGACTCGCGCCGGGCGCGGCCGCTGCCGGCGGCGGCGGCGTCGACGCTTTTCCGCCGCTGCCTCTGCCAGAGGCCGGCGGCGCGCGGAGGGGGGCCGGGGCGGGGGGCCAGCAGTGGCCTGGCCCTTGCAGGGTGGCACGCAGAGCTCGGAGACACATTTCGAGAGCCCTGCGCACCCTCTCTAGGGCACGCTGGAGTCGACTGGAGTCTGGTGGTCGATGAGCTGGCGCCGATGTGGCATCGACAAGCGACGATATCGCGCCGCTTTTGCATCGATGAGCGTCGATGTGCTAGAGCCAGCAAGATTGTATGGGAGGGCTCCCATGGGTTGCAGGCCCTGTCTAGGCCTCGCAGGACTGCTCGTGGAAACCAAGGCCAGGACTTCGGTTCCAGGGTCATGGGGCCCTGCCACTTCTGGAAGGCCAGGGCTGGGCCCGACCTCCAGGAGAAACGACCTCCAGGATGCCGACGCTGTTCACCCTTTCGGGGGTCTCCTGGAGGACCGTTGTTGTTACGGCTGGGAGCAGCTCGAAGAACGGCCCAGGAGGGACCCGTGGAAGGGGCTTGGGGTGGTTTTGAGCGGATCGGGGTCATGGGGTGGGGGGGCCGATGGGGCGGAATTTTCAAAATTGGCGGCGCGCCCGGGGGGGAGATGAGAGGGAAAAGGCCTTCTCGGAAGGCGGCGGGGCTTCTCAGAAGCCCTCGAGCCTTCTGATAAGTTGTTCGTGTCTCCGGGAGGTACCAGAAAGTTTCCCAGAAGGCCCAGGGCCTTCCGAGCCTCCCGAGACGGCTCGCCCCTTCTCGCCCTCCCCCCGTGGGCTCGTCGCCGACAGCAGGCTGGGGGCTTCTCGGAAGCCCTTTGCGCCCTCCAAGAAGCCCCCTCGGAGACCTCCGATCCCAGAAAGGCCCCGCCCTGCCTCAGAAGGCCAGCCCGCCTTCGCCCCCTCGCGGGCGCCGGCCCCCCCCCGCGCGGCGCCGGCGGAGAGGGCGCGGAGAGGGAGCTGCTCGAGGAGCCGCCGAGCTGCAGCGCGAGCCCGGCGAAGAGCGCCCGGCGGGAGGCCTCGAGGATCGCGGGTTTGATCGGTGCCAGCCCGCAGCCTGGCCCTTGGAGGCCTCCTCCTCCACCTCCTCCTTTCAGAGGCCCCTGGAGGCCTCCTCCTCCACCTCCTCCCTCCAGAGGCCTACACGGGAGCCGGGAGGAGGCTTCAAAGAACGCTCAAGCACGCCCGGGGTCCTTGATCCTCGATCGTCGCGGGCTAAACTTGGCGCCCGACACGCGAGGAGGCTGCTTGACGACCTGGTGAGTCCCGCGGCGAGCATGTCGTGGCTGCTGCACGACAGGGACGCCGTCCACGACACGCGCTCTATCGAGAGCAAGGTGTGGCTGGAGCGCGTCGAGGCGCTCCTCCTCGCCCTCCCCCCCCTACCCGCACAGATCCGCGGACGATCTGGACACGCCGGTCGTTGAAAGTACGTATTTCTGGGCTCCCAGATTCCAGTCTATTTTGGCAGCCTTCCTACTTCAAGAGTCGAGTGGTTGTCGTTCTTCCTTCCTCTTCAGGGGGCGGGTGGAAACCAAATCTACTTACAACGCCTTCCTACTTCATGGTTCTACCGACTTCTTCCGACCGACGAGTGCGCACGGTGCCGTGCTGCCGTCTCCCGAATCGCCGTCGGTCTTCGACCCAGGAACGCTGCGGTGCATAGTGTTCTGGCCATCGGGGCCAGAAGGCAGTGCAGCGCACTGCGCTGGAGCAAGGCTCGAAGGGAGTCCGAGCATGTCGGACGGGGCTAGGAAGCGGCTAGGACGTGGATAAATCTGTTCCAGAGCGTTCCAGAGCGATCTCAGAGCGTTCCGGAACGCTCTCAGAAGGCCGCGGCGCCCGATCCTTCCAGAGCCGCCCCATCTCAGAGGTTTTCAATTTGTCCTGGCCCAAATCTATCCTCGTCCTGGCTTCGTCTCATGCCAGAGCTCCCGCGTCCTGCAGAGGATCAAGCCCCCGGGGGCTCCCGGCGTCCTCTGCCCTCGAGGGCCTTCTCTGTGTGTCCCGGGCCCAGGGCCGTCGAGCCAGCAGGAGGGGTCGCGAGGCCAGGGGCCGCGCAGGCCCTCCCTTCCTCCCTTCGCATCCTCCGCCTGCCGGCCTCCCTCCTCCTCCTCCTCCTCCTCCTCCTCCTCCTCCTCCTCCTCCTCCTCCTCCTCCTCCTCCTCCTCCTCCTTCTCCTCCTCCTCCTCCTCCTCCTCCTTCTCCTCCTCCTCACTCTCTCCCTTCCCAGCCTCCGCCTGCTCCTCCACCGAGGTCCGGGAGGAGCTGGTGAAGTGCGGCAGCAGCGAGGCGCTCGAGAAGGAGTGCTCCAGGCACAGGTCGTACGGCCCCAGGCGCACGTTGCGCTCCAGCAGCGTCGCCAGCGTCGTGAGCCTGAGCGGAGTCCAGGATCTGGCCGCTCTTACGCCTACCTCGGCTTCGGAACGAGTCCTCTCGAGCCTGCGACTGTTGCGCCCGGGGAACATGGTGGAGCTCCTGAGGGAACTCCGAGCATGGCTGAGCTGGAGCAGGCTTTCCCGCAGCACCGTGCTGTCTCCGAGCTCGACACCACGGGCCTGGCTTGACGCCGTGAGCTTGCTCGTGCTCTTGTACAACTTGTCGTCCATCCCATATTTTTTTGCGTTCCAGGTGGGGCGTTCCAGAAAAGGGCATCGCCTTCGGCTCATCTCGCCTTCGGCGGAAGGTGGGCGGAAGCCAGTGGAAGGAAAATGGTGGCTGGGTGGCCGGCGGAAGGTCAGTGGGAGTAACAGCGAGACGACAACAGTTTTGTTATTTGGAGTTAGTGGAGTCGGCCAGGTCGACAACGGAGCCAGCCCTTGGGTGACATTTGAGTACGTGTCGGCCTCGTTCTGGTTTGTCGACCTGCTGGTGAGCTTCAGGACAGGCTACTATGCAGACGGGCATCTCCATATGGAACCCTGGAAGATTGCTCGTCGCTACTTGCGGAGTAGCTTCTTCCTGGACCTCCTCACGCTTTTGATCGATGTCGTGTCCATTGTATTACGGGCACTCGAGAACGAGAGCGTGGTTCCCGCGGCGTACATTCGGACCTTCAAGATTGTACGCGTGTTCCGACTCGCGGGGGTGACGAGGGTGAGAAACCTCCATGGTATTCTGGATCGGTTAGGGAACTCCTACCACGTCATTTTGGTGAAAGCGTTCACGGGGTCTTTGTACAACATCTGCAAGTTCGCGCTAGCTCTGGTTTGGGTGAACCACACGATCGCATGTTTCTGGTGCTTCCTGGGCAGGGAGGATCCTCGAGGCTCCCTCCCCTTCTCCCTTCCACCTGCTGCCGCGGGTAATGCCAGGGATGTGCGGAGACTTGCATCTGACAGCCGTTAACTAGTTTACTCAGCCTGCGCATTCTAGACGTGGCTGGTGGTGGGGTGTGTGTTCAAGCAGAAGAAGAAGAAGAAGAAGAAGAAGAAGAAGAAGAAAAAGAAGAAGAAGAAGAAGAACAGCATTATGAAGACGAAACAGCGTGTTTCTAGCAATGTACGTTGTGTATTGGATGTTGTGCGATATTTGTGCTGCTATCTATGCTGTGCAGTACGTGTAGCGCACTACGTGGTGCAGTCCATGTTGCACAATACATGCGGTGCAGCATATGTGGTGCAATCTATGTTGTGGCGTATGTGTCATGCAATCTATGTTGTGAACGGTCGGAAAGCGCGCCGCAGGCGCGAACAACACTTCGTGTAAGTGATGTGCTGCAATCGATGTGGGGCAATACATGTGGAGCAGCTTGCGTGGTGCAACCTATTCGGTGCAATTCACTTTGACCGTCTTGAAGCTGTCCTCTCCACTGCTCGTGCAAACATCCCACCCTCCCATCCGCAACCTGGTCGCAAGACCTCTTAAGACAAGACCGTGACGGTAGGTGCCAGATGGCACTTGGCCACGACAGCGACGCCGACGACGACAGCGACAACCACGACGACGGCGCCGCCGACACCGACGACGACGACACCGACGACGTCTCTCACGACTTCGACGACGACAGCGACCACGACGACGACGACACCGACGACGACGACGCCGATGACGACGACGATGACAACGACGACGACGACGCCGACGACGACGCCGACGACGACGAGGAAGACGACGACGACGACGACAACGACGTCGCCAACGAAGACGACGACGAAGGAGAAGGGAGGACGACGACGGCGACAACGACGACAACGACGACAACGACGAGGGAGGAGGGAGGACGGCGACGACGCGAACGACGAAGAAGGAGGAAGGACGGCGACGCCGACGACAACGACGAGGGGGGAAGGAAGACGCCGATGACGCAAGAGCACGCGCGCACGCTTTTGTTGAAAATCCGTGTTGCGAAACCTCGGGTTTTTGTAGGTTGTTTGAACACACGATTTTGAAATCCTTCCGAAACCGATGGGTTTTGAAGGATTTCGGCATACGCGCGCGACGACGCGCGCGTCTGCACTTCGCCCCATTTGTTGAAAAAGATTCTCGCGACGGCACACGCGCAAGGGCGTTCGACGGATTTCGACATGCGCGCGCGCGAAGCCCGTTTAATAGCATTCTGTGGAAATCTTGAAGAACCTATGGTTTTCTTGAGATTTCGCAAGAGCTCGAGCGGAAGCTTTTTTAGCAAATCAGTGTTGCGAAACCCTGTGTGTTTGTTTGTGTTTTGGAAACTCGATTGCGAAATCCTTCCGGCACCGACGGTGTTTGAAGGATTTCGGCATGCGCGCGCGACGACGCGCGCGTGTGCACTTCGTCTCTTTTTTTACAAGCGGTTCGCGAAAAAGTGCAATGTTAGAACAAAAAATGTCCCCGCGTATTGTGTTCTTAACAAGGGAACCTCAGGGGGGGGGAACCCGGCTGGCCTGGGACATTGTGATTTCATATTGGGGATGGACATGTGGTCATAATCATATGTGATTTACATACCCGAAAGGGGCAGCGATAATGCCGGGGGGGGTAGAGTCTATTCTCTTTTTAGAAAGGAGAATTAATTTCTGTTCGCCGTGAGTTGTCCACTCCACTGCACGCGCAAACATCCCACCCACCCACCAGCAATTTGGTTTGCAAAATCTCTTAAGACCGTGACGGTGGGTACCAAATGGCACTTGGCAACGACAGCGACGCCCACGACGACAGCGACAACGACGACGACGACGCCGCCGACAACGACTACGACGACACCGACGACGTCTCCAACGGCTTCGACGACGCCGACAACGACGACGACGACACCGACGACGACGACGACGACGACGACGCCGACGCCGACCATGACGACGACGACGACGATGACAACGGCGACGACGACGACAACGACGACACCGACGACGACGACGACGTCAACGACGCCGACGACGACGACGACGACGACGACGACGACGGCGGCGACGACGACGACGCGGCCGCCGACGACGACGACGAAGACTTCGACGACGCCGACGCCAACGACGACGACGAAGACGACGACGACTTCGCCAGCGAAGACGACGATGGAGGAGGGAGGACGACGACGGCGACAACGACGACAACGACGGCAACGACGAGGGAGGAGGGAGGACAGCGACGACGCGAACGTTGAAGAAGGAGGAAGGACGGCGACGCCGACGACGACAACGACGAGGGAGGAGGGAAGCCGACGACGACGACGACAACGACGACGACGACGACGGCGACGAAATAGGAGGGACGACGACGAGACGCCGACGACGGACGACGACGACGACGAGGGAGGAGGAGGAAGGACGACCACGGCGACAACGACGACGGAAACGACCATGACGCCAAAGAGGACGACGACGACGAACACGAGGAAAGACAGAGAACGACGTAGGCGACGACGACGACGACGCGGGAGGAGGGAGGACGGCGACAACGACGACGAAGACGACGACGCAAGAGCGCGCGCGCACGCTTTTGTTGAAAATCCGTGTTGCGAAACCTTGTGTTGTTTGCAGGTTGTTTTGACACGCGATTTTGAAATCCTTCCGAAACCGATGGGTTTTGAAGGATTTCGGTATACGCGCGCGACGACGCGCGCGTCTGCACTTCATCCCGTTGCATCGGATTCTCGCGACGGCACACGCGCAAGGGCGTTCGACAGATTTCGACATGCGCGCGCGAAGCCCGTTTAATAACCTGTTGTGAAAAATATTGAAAACCCGTGGTTTTGTTAAGATTTCGCAAGAGCTTGCGCGGAAGCTTTTTTAGCAAATCAGTGTTGCGAAACCCAGGGGGTGTTGTATGTTTTTTCCTTGGAAGCTCGATTGCGAAATCCTTCCGGCACCGACGGTTTGTGAAGGATTCCGGCATGCGCGCGCGACGACGCGCGCGTGTGCACTCCGTCCCATTTGTTGCAAGCGATTTGTGAACAAAGTCGTATGCTAGAGCAAAAATGTCCCCGCATATTGTGTTCTTTACAAGGGAACCTCAGGGGGAGCGATACCGGCCCCATGGGATAGTGTACGCTCGTTCATATTTAGGATGGACATGTGGTCATAATCTTATATGATTTACATGCCCGAATGGGGAACGGATAGCGCCAGGGGGGGCAGAGGTTACTTTCTTTTTAGAAAGGAGAACCTATGTGATGCAACATCTGGTGCAACATATGTTGTGCAATATGTTTGCACCAGATGTTTGGTTATGCGGTTGGCGAATATATATATATATATATATATATATATATATATATATATATATACACGAATACATATATATATATATATATATGCATATATGATTATATGTAATATACAGATAATGCAATCTATGTGATTGTGCGACATAGGTTGTGCCGTGGACGTGGTGCAACATGTGTTGTGACCGACTAAAGTGCGCGTCCCAAAGTGCACGGCCCCCCCAGGTGCCCAGAGGATTGAGCAGACAGAAAGAGGCGGTTCCCACCATAGGTGTCCGTGAAACTGCGCATCGATCTGCTCGTATCTCCATGGTGTGCTCATCGATATATGGTGACAGTTCTGACATACCGAACCGACCCTGCCACCGAGCAGTTGGAGATTTACCAGACATAGCGGACGCACGAACGTGGGACCGCATTTCGTCGGACCACAACTTCTGGACCCCGTGGCGCCAGAAATGTGCCAACCTTCAGCGGCAAGCGAGAAGTTTGTGAGCACCTGGTCTTCCCATTCGAAAGCTGCTGTGGGCTTCTCGGTTGCACAGTGTGGATGGACGCCGCAAAAGAGGCGGACGAGGATATCGAGCGCGACGCGATGAACGAACAGGCCGGAGCGATCGGCGAGAGCTTGTATAATTAGCTGGCGAGCGCGACTACGGGAACGGCGCAAAGCATTTAGCGCTCACCGAGGTGCAGATTGCTTTGAGCAAACTCATGTCACGGTATGACAGGACCACCGGTGACGAAGTCGCCCAAAACATGAAGTCGAGCACGATCATGGCGCACGCACACGAGGAAGTGAAAACGCTGTTCGCATCGGCTCAGTGCGGGGTTCGCAATGACATCCAGCAGATGAGGGGGTGCATCTTCGAGGCGGCCATCGGGCATAACGGCGTTGGGGCGATGCCACTCACTGCGAGCCCAGGCCGAGGCTGAGACGACATGCGATCTCCAAGGGCAAGGACGAAGGCAAGGGCGGATGCCAGATCTGCCACAGGCCAAACCACACTGCCAAGGGGTGCAACTTGCGGGGCAAGGACAATGGGACAAGGAAAGAGCAAGGCTTGAAGCTACAGGACCAGCACAGGCCCTACGGGAAAGATTACCGAATGTCAACGATCAACAACGACGTCTTCACTGGCAAATGCGACCATTGCCACAAGACAGCGCACAATAAGGCCGACATCCGAAAGGAAGCAGCCGAAGAGAAAGCCAAAGGAAACGCCGCGATTCAGCAGGACGACTCATCAGGACGAGTCAGCAGGGCGAAGATCGAGCGCGCGGAGGACGAGTTCGAGTGCGACATCTTCGATGACGACCAGCTGTGCTGCACGGCGATGAAGGTCGACGACGCGGCGGAGGAATGGTCCGCGAGCGACGGGGACACTGTGTTCATCGCGCTGGACACGGCGAGCGACTACCACGTGGGACATCGGACGTGCCGATGGCGGTGGACGATTGCGACGACCAGGCGTAGCTGCTGGGGGCAAGCTTCAAGCTCGGCGAGGTGGCGTCGAAGCCGATCCTATCGATGTTCGAGGTCATGGACGCGGGGGCGGAGTTCTGGCTGGGCGCGAAGATTGGCGCGGCGATGTGCCCGGGAGGCGACCTGAGCAAGGGCGCGCTGCTCACCGCAAAGAACAGCGCGCTTGGCTTCGACGCGGAGCCGTTCAGGTGTGCGAGCGAAGCCAGGGAGCGCCAGGCGAGGGCGAACGCGAACGAGCAGGAGGACGGGGGGCCGGGGCCTTCGCCTGGAGCTTCAGGCAGCGGGCCCATCGGGGCCCCGCCAACCGAGGGGCCAGCAGCGCCAGAGCCGCTGGCCCCAGAACATACGGCAGCAGCGCTGCGCGAGCGACTGGCTGCCCAGTCTGCGCTGCAGTGCAACGGGCAGGAGATCGCGCCGCGCCAGGACAGCCGCGCGGCCGACGCGCAGGGGTGGCCGGGGAAGCCTGGGTCACCCGAATTTCGGCAGGAAGGATGAGCTCTGGAAGACGCCTGGAGTAGGATTCGCGCGTGCCAGGCAAAGATGACGCAGCTGGAGATGAGGCGCGATGGGGGCGTTGCAAGGGGGTCCATCGGTCGCGCCTCGCCGAGTGTCTGGACCTACGCGGCCCACGCCCGAGGAGCGAGCAGCCCGCGACCTACCGCATCTGACGCGAGCGCCGAGGCGCGAGGCGCGCGTCAGAGAAGATGAGACGACCGCGCCGCGCCGAACCGTCACTTGAGATCTGACGGACACGTGGGCGTCGCGGATAGCCATCGACCCTTGCTAAATCCAGACGAGCGGGGAGGCGGATTTCGGCGGGGAGGTACCGCTGGTGGCCGACATCTTCGCGACGGCGCCGGCGACGGCCGATCGGGGCGCGCCGACGTTCAATGCCGGGTCAATGACGAAGAAGAGTGCGACCGACATAGCTGCGATGAGCGCGCGCGGATGCCCGGGGGCGCGCGCCTCGCGACAGCGGAGTTGAAGTCAGACGGCGAGGTCGCGGTCGTCGAGCTGGCGGAGGGCGCGCGGAATGAGGCCAAGAGGGCCAAGATGGAGCTGAAGCAGGGCAAAGGGCAACATGAAGGACAGCGCGAGCGCGGGGGCGATCGAGGAGCCGATCATATTGTTTCAGGCGAAGGGCGAAGGTCAGGACCTGCAAGTTCGACATGGAGTAGAGGCGCGGCATCAAGACCGCGGCAGATCCTCCAGCATGGCGCTGGATGGCAAGATATGCGACTTGGGCCACAACGACATGCAGATCGAGGGCGGAGGGGCGAACGTCGCGCCAGGCCGCGCACGGAGTGACCTACAACGGCGGGATCCTACCCTTTGCGGAGACGGCGCTCTTCAAGGTGCCAGCGTCGCACGCCGGGTAGATCGCGGCGACGACTCTGGAGCGCTGGGGCGAGTCGAGCTTCGAGGAGGCATGGGCTGGAGAGCGCAAGGCGAGCGACGACCATTTGTTCCTGACGCCAGTCGGCTGGCGCAGGGCAAGGGCGCGCAGGGCGCCGGGGCCGTCTCTTCGTCGCGACGCGAAGCTGGCGAAGGCGGTTTCAGCTCTGCCGCGGGAAGCGCACAGAGCTGAGCCGCGCGAGGCGCAGCCGCGGGCGAGGCGCCCCCTGCCGCGGACGATGCCGGCGGCAGCGGAGCAGAAGGCGAAGGCGGGCGTCAGGGCGGCAGCCGAGCAACCAGCAGCTCCAGGAAGGAGCGCCCGAGCGGGGGGCGCTAGCGGCACAGCCTGTAGAGTCTGCTGAGCCAGTGGCCCAACACGAGGTGCCAGCCCAGCAAGCAGCGCCAGCACCGCGGGAGCAGGAGCGACCAGACGAGGCGATGAGCGAGCCCGCGGCAGGCGCGAGAGCCCCGGTCAGTCTGAGAGGACAGAGTCGGTCAGCGGATGACGCAGAGACCAGATCGCCCGAGAAGCGAGCTAGACATGCGCAGGTTGCATCGCTGGACGACCCGATCGACTACAGCATGCTGGACAGGATGGCAACCGAGAGCTACGTGACGACGCAAGGCGCTGAAGGTCTGGGCCCATCGCAACGCGCACGAGGACACCCGAGGAGCGAGGGCGGCCACCGGAAGACGATCAAGGCCCGATGGGAGCCACAGATGCGTGGAGGACAGGTGCAGTCGCGCTACGTCGCGCAGGAGTTCAAGTGCATGGAGCAGCGAGACGACGCGTCCGCAGCGAGTTCCTCGGCGCAGGCGAGCAGGTTCGCGGACTTCGAGCGTCGAAGAGGAGAATCACGGCACATGTATCGCGATCTGTGTGAAGGTTCACTACCAAGCGGGCCGGGCAGATAATGCGTGCGTGGAGCCACCCGCGGAGTACTTGGCACAGCTGGCAGTGCTCGGGGGCCGCCAGATCTCGCGCAGGAGCAGAACAAGGTGCTTCCAGGACAGCGCGTGGCAGGCGTTGGACGGGTCGGAAAGGCAGCCATGACGCTGCAAGGTGAGAACTTCAAGCGGAGTGAGAGCGGGCCGTAGTCCTATTTCCACCGAGAGATGAAGGCGCTGATCGAGGTCCACATGGACCACTACCGCGGCGAAGGTTTCTCCGGGGATCTGGACATGGTCATTGCTAGGCTGCGCGAGGCGTTCGGCCTGAAAGCGACGGACGCGATCCGGCAATGGCGCTCTTTGCATTTGAAACGGGGCAGGTCGCGATTGATGAGTGGCGACGTGATGCCGAGACCCAAAGCGAAGCACAACGGGGGCCTGATCTTCGCCGTTGGGATGGACAAGGCGAAGCCAGCCGCCGCGCCAAAGCTCGCGGAGGAGGGCCGTGCTGGAGCCCCGACTTGGAGGAGACGGAGAAGACCAAGGTCCGAAGTGGAGCGGGCATTGCATTCTACATCTCGCCTGGCAGAGCCGACGTCCAGAGAGACGTGCAGCTGCTGACCTGGAGCGTGAGTCAGCCGACGGAGTCCGACGGGAAGCGCGCGACGAAGTCGGCGAGGTACCTGAACGGGGCCAAGACCCACGGGGCACGGCAAGCAGGGGGAGGCGAATCTCACCATGGACACGGACACCGACTTCGCGGTTCGCAAGACCACCAGGCGAGCCATGACGCGCGGGATGGCCAAGGTCAGCGACGCGTAGCTCTCGGCGTTCGCGAGAAGGCAAGGGACACAACGCACATCGTTTGGAGAGGCCGAGCTCTAAGGTGAGACCTCTGTGGTGATGCGCGAAAAGCTGATCGAGCGCATCCTGGACTGGTTGGGCTACAAGGTGACTTGCGAACTGACCATAGACAACAGCGCTGCGAAGGCGTTGGTCAACAGGGAAGATGTTGGCATTGTCCAGCATTTGGATGCGAGGGCGTTGTGGATACACCAGGAGAGGAACGTGAACGGCCTGAACATTAGAACGGAGTCTGGCGAGAAGAACGTGGGGGATATGGGGCCTGCCCAGCGGGCGGGGGTCCCTAATGCGGCGAGAGCACAGGCACGGTGATGATCAAGAGCACGACGGAGCTGGTGGGCGACTCTCTGAAGGAGATGGTCTATGCCAACATCTACCAGATCGTCATCCTGATCCCGGGGGCGGCGTTCCTCCTTGGCGCGCTGTGCGGAACGAGCTGCTTCAAGAGCAGCGAGAGTGGAGTGCTGGAGATCATGGCGACGGGCGGGCTGACGGCCCGCGACATGGACCATGGGCGGTGAAGCAGGAAGCTGGCAAAGACAGTGGCCGCCCAGACAGCGAGCCAGGTGCCGCGCCCCTACATGTGGAAGTACGCCAGCCCGAGCTTCGTGCCCCTGCCAGAGAGCAGCGACGCAAGCTCGTGGCAAATGGCACGGCTGACCGTGAGACGAGGGCGCAGCAAAGGCGGAGATCGCGCTGCGACATCGTGATGGCGAGCTGATGAAGCAACGCCTGACGGTGCGCATCGACCCGCTCAAATCTCCAGCAATTCAACGACGGCGACGGGCGGCGACGAGGCGGCGACGGGGCGGCAACGGGGCGGCGACGGCCGGCACGGAACCGCCGCCCAGGCGACGGGCGGTGGCGAGGCGGCGACGGGGCGGCGACGACGGGCACGGAACCGCCAGATCGAAGACGCGGACCAGTTCTAAGTAATCGCAATCATAGTAGCCGCAGTAATGGTGATGGCAATGACAATGGTAATAATGCTGGTAATGGGAATTTAGATTATGGCAGTAGTAGTAGTAGTAGTAGTAGTAGTAGTAGTAGTAGTAGTAGTAGTAGTAGTAGTAGTAGTAGTAGTAGTAGTAGTAGTAGTAGTAGTAGTAGTAGTAGTAGTAGTAGTAGTAGTAGTAGTAGTAGTAGTAGTAGTAGTAGTAGTAGTAGTAGTAGTAGTAGTAGTAGTAGTAGTAGTAGGAGTAGGAGTAGGAGGAGTAGTAGGAGGAGTAGGAGGAGTAGGAGGAGTAGGAGGAGTAGTAGTAGTAGTAGTAGTAGCAGCAGTAACAGTAGCAGTAGCAGTAGCAGTAGCAGTAGCAGTAGCAGTAGCAGTAGCCGTAGCCGTAGCAGTAGCAGTAGCAGTAGTAGTAGTAGTAGTCGTCGCCGTCGTAGTAGTAGTAGTAGTAGTAGTAGTAGTAGTAGTAGTAGTAGTAGTAGTAGTAGTAGTAGTAGTAGTAGTAGTAGTAGTAGTAGTAGCAGTCACAGTCATAAAGCGATACAATGAGGGGACAGAGAAACATAGCATGCACATTTATATAAAAACTAAGAAGGAAAATAAAGAGGACAGCTCATGAAAGTACAAATACTAAGAAGAGTCATACAAATAATAGTAGTCGTAGTAATCGTCGGACTCATAATCTTACGAGTGATAACAATAAGGATAACACGACTACCTAAGCAGAACAAAACGAATAAGAATCAGAAAATGCCTCGTCCGCCTGCTGCAGGTGTTAGTTACTCCTCCTTCTTCCTTCTCCTCCTCCTCCTCCCTTGGAGGGGGGCGTTAGCTGACCAGCGCCACCACCCAGAACTCCGCGGGCCAGCGTTGGGCCAAGGTCCCCGTGGGGTTGGCTCCAGGCTCGGTCCACGGTCCATGTCCATCAAAATCGGGGCCTTAAACGGTTTAAGCCAGGCTTGCCTCGGGGATTGGAGGGCCAAGTCTATTTGCTTCTGAAAGACCAACATCTGGGACCAATGCCAAGTACCAGTTTCACTTTCTAGCCACAAGCGTCTATAGACACAATCGGCGTCGTTACGGATATCGACAAATTCGGGGTGGATGCGTCCATAGACAACGCGGCCGTTGCGCTCGGCGCCGTGCAAGGTCGGAGAATGGATATAGATTCGTCTATGGTATGTTTTTGTTCCAGAGCAGGTCCGACATGGTACTCCAACTCGGGGAGGACCGAAGTCGACCAGCGAAACGATGCATGCACACAAACCAGTGGAGGCCCGCACGGACTTCGTGGGCCGTCCGTGGACCCTCCTCGGCTCGCCTCGCGCGCCAGGCCGCGGGAGTTCCAGCGCCGGCCCATGAAGGTCGCGCAGAGCCCCCCGAAGTTCTCTTCCCTACGTGCGAGAGACGCACGCTGTGCGCCTTGCAGCCTCGTTTGGTCATCGGTTGTGAGCTCTGGAAGTGTATGCCTTCTGTGCGAGAGACGCTCGCCGTGCGCCTCGCAGCCTCGTTTGGTCATCGGTTGTGAGCTCCGGAAGGTTGTGCCTTCTGTGCGTGAGACGCTCGCCGTGCGCCCTGCAGCCTCGTTTGGTCATCGATTGTGAGCTCCAGAAGTTCTTGCTTCCGTGCGAGAGTCGCTCGCCGTCCCGTGCATCCTTCCCTTTCGGCCCATCCTTGGCCGCTTTCGCTGGCCGCGCCCCGCCCGGAAAGTGTCGACGTGGCCTTCCGAGGCTCTTGCATCTTTATCGTGCGTCCTTCTTACGCGGATCGGCTGTATGTAAGAAATGCCCCAGGAGGGCCGTCGCGCAGCAGCGCTCTTGGCGACGATACGATTCGCGCCCCGCCATGGAGCAAGCGGGCCCCGAGGGGCAAGGGTCCCTAGATGTTTCGCCGTGTGCGGGGCCGGGCGGGCCGTTCCCGGGGCCCAGGGCCGTCCAAAAACGGCTCGTGCGTCCTCGTGATCGTGCGTCCTTCTCGGCGTTCGGTCGCATGGTAACCTTGCAAGGCCTTGGAAGGCCTTGGGCGGTCACCCTCGACCTTACCCTTCGACCTGGCCTTCCAGGGCCCTGCAGTGTGGCCCTCGCGTCCTCATCGCGCGTCCTCTGTTGTGCGGGTCGGCTGCACCGAGTCTGCTGCACGCAGCTGGTCTCGGGCCGGCCGCCTGGCACGGAGCCCGGGCGCGTGGTCGCCCCGGGGGGACCAGGCTGCGATCGGTGGCTTCGGAGGCGGCCAGGGAGGGGGGGTGACGACGCGGGCCTCGGCGCGGGGTCGCCCTTGGGCGCCAGGAGGCGCCCGGGGAAGCCAGCTGCGATCGGCGGCTTCGGGGGCGTCCAAGAGGGGGGTGATGACGCGGGGGTCGGGGGGGGGGGGGGGGGGGAGATCATGGAAGAGGGGGTGATGGCGGGGGGGGGGGGATCATGGCCGGGGCCAGGATACCTCCCCAGATGTCGTGGCGCCGTCTCTCAGTTCAGCACGTCCCCTGGGCCCCCCCCTGGGCCGCGCATACGACTCTGGGGCGGCCAAGAGGGGGGTGATGATGCGGGGGTAGGGATAGCATGGCCGGGGCCATGATACCTCCCCAGATGTCGTGGCGCTTTTACGTCCGATGGCCCCCACTGGGCCGCGCACATATCGGACCATGGGGTTCGAAACCCCCCTCTTGGACGCCCCCTCTTGGACGCCCCCGATTGACTCGCCACCCCCCCCCTTTACAGCGGGACGCGCATCAAGAAACCGCCTGTTTTTTTGTCAGGTCACTCTGTTTACAGTTCTTCGCTCCGCGCGCTGCGAGGTGACTTCCCGCGGCCCTGGCAGAAGCTGCTGCGTTTGGGATGATCTGGTTTCCCCCCCCGTCTGCATCTCGCGCGCGGTTTTTCAGGGCTGGGTTTCTTGCGAGGGTTTCTTGCGGCCGCGTCCGCACTGTGCCCCCTCTTCCCGTCCATCCCGATTGGTGGCACTGGCCCTTTGCTCTCTCCCAATGTTCCTCCCCCCGCCCACCTCCCTCCGATCCCCCCATGGGCCTGTCCTCAGACGCGTTATGAGCAGGATGTGTAGGTGCACGCAGCCGCAGCGATGCGGGCCCTCAGGATGCTGAAAGGAGCGAGAAACGCAAGAAAGAATTGGAGGACAAATCCTCATTCTCCAAAGAGAGGATGTGTCCAGGTGCTCAAGAAGAGCCAGACGCATCCAAACATTTGATCCTCGATCCCCCGATCCCCTCCTCTCCGCCGCCGCCTCCTCGTCGAGGGTCCGTGTCCGACACGGGCTTCACGTGGATGGACACCGGGGACGGGCTGGCTTGGGCATACAGCCATTCCGGGCGGCTTTACCAGTATGCCATCGGTCGGCGCCTTTTCTGCGACTGCGAAGACGACACCAAATCGGTTCCGCTTCTTCTTCCCTCTGCCCTTTCATCTCCTCCTCCCCGTCCTCCTCCTCATCCTCCTCCTCGTCATTTTCCTCATCCTCCTCCTGAGCGCTCTGGGGATTACCAGCCCAGACCCAGGACTTCCGCATTGTCAAGGTCCCAACTCACATGAACCCTTCTAACCTGACAGCTGGATCGGTGGAGTGGTTTAGGGCTGTAGGCAACGATCACGCGGACAGGTATGCCAAGAAATGCGCACTCACTGTAGGGCAGCCGTCGGTGTCGGAAATATCGGCATGAGTTGACGAGAGCGCCTCCTTGAGGCGATATCTCCTGTAGTGCAGTCTGGGCGTGTCTTTTATACCCGAGGTTCGCCCCCTCCAAGGCCATGCGTGCCACTTTTAACGCGCGGCTAAAAGCACCAGGATTTAAGACTGGCATTGGGGCTGCCTGCCAGGCGCTCCCGTTCCCACCGCCCCCGACCCCGCCCTCACTCCCACCGCTCCCTGCCCCGCCCGAAGCGGCATCTTCGGCAGCTGCTCCAGCGAACCCAGAAGGGCATGTGTGGACTTGGCGTCGCACCCGCTGGGCGTGCCAGCGCTGTTTGCGCTTTGTCACGAGCGACTGTAAGCCCGTGCCCAACTTGTCGCCTATGCAGCCCTCTCTGCTCTGGTCGCACGTGGCAAACTACTCCCATGGTGTTCTTTTTATATGCGGCAAGTGTGGCGCCTAAAACTGGCGCTTTGTGTTCTTTGGGTAAGGAATGCCCGCCAGGACGCGGTTTCCCGTCCAATGGCGCAAAGCATTCTTGGGACAGGGTTCCCAGAGGTCAACACCCCAACTCGAAAGTTGGCCTGGCCTTTTGCCTTGACGAGCGTCTCCCCGTCTCTGGCATCTTTTCACCTTCGTGCGCAGAGGGTCGTGTGCGGTCTGTGGAAAACATGTTTCGCCCCGTCCTGCGACCGTTTGCGCAATCTGCGTGTAATTGCCACGTGGGTTCGACTCGCATCGACGGCTCCGGTATCGATGATGGGCTTGGTGGGGAGAGAAACCCCTACCCGGCCCCATGGGAGGTATTCCGCCCTCCCCGGAGGCCCGCTGCAGCCTCACAGCGACCGCGTTTTTTTTGTTTTCTCTCTCTCTCTCTCTCTCTCGGGGCTTTGGACACCGCACTCACAAGTGCATTGGAGGAACGCGTGCGGGTACGAAATTGTCCGCCAGACAAGAGTATTAACAAATCGCGCTCCCCCTCTTGTGTTATCAGGCCTCACAGTCGCAATGCGGCTGTGCGCGATCAGCGTGCAGCAGGAGATCCGATACACGATCATTGCTCAAGATGAAGGGTGATTCGTTTTCACGACAAAATTACCCTGCGACGTACCCAACCCACGTGCATCAAATGGCAGGAGGAGTATGCCAACATTAGCAGGAACAGCGACAGTGTAGACGCGGCGATTTGCTGTGCAAGCTACATGGGATGCGCATGCGTTGCACGATTCACAGGACGACGATCGAAAAAACGAGGCTTGAGGCCCCAGGATCGAAGAAGAACGGGTACGGGAACGAGGGGTAGGAGAGGGATGGAATGGAGGGCGGGGGGGGCGAAAGGCCATCGCGGAAGCAGCAGCATGCATGGAGAAGGTGAGGCGGGGAATAGGACGACGATGAAAGTGGCGGGAGGAGACAGAAGACTGCCGCGTTTTTCAAGCGCGAGCTAAACCCGCAGCGCTGCCTGCGCCATGTCGTCGCAGAGTTCCACATGATAAAACTTGTTTAGAGTGCAAGGAACGAGCGAGGCGTAGCTCGCCCGCTAGCTTCTCCGCCTCCTTCCCGCACATTTCAGCGCGGGAGCTGAACGCTCGCAGGCGCGCCGCCAGGTCTGCGGGCGGCCCGCGGGAAAGAAACTCAAGGCCGGGGTCGCGTATCATCAATCGGTTGTCCATCGTCCAAAGTTGCACTGGCGACGTACTGGTTGAACGCGGAGCGAGCAGCATCACGCGCGTGCCTGAACGCCACGCAGGTACAGTGCACGCGCGATTGGGACTTCAGGTCGATCACGCGCGTCTCCACCAGGCTTGGCAACACCACGCGACTGAGGATCTCACTGCGGTCTGCCATGCTGCTGTCCGCGAATGCAATGCGCTGCCTGCAAGTAAGGCGGCGGCGTCCACTTGTCTCAGAAGATGTTCCCGCGGGCCCGAAGGGCGACCGCCAGCTCGAGCCGCGGCGCCGGCAGGCCAGATAAGGATCATGCAACAGCAAAGACGATGACAGAGCAACGAGGTATCGGCGAGTGCATGACCGGCCTCCGTTTCCTGCACTTCTTTCCTGTAGTTCCCCTAGCTCATCGAGCTCAGCAGATGTTTCTGCGGGTCCGAAGGACGACCGCCAGCTCGAGTCGCAGCGCCACGTGGCACGAACCGCAGAGCAAGGGCACGCGAGCATTGCTCGTGGTCAGAATCTGAGTCCCCGTGGTGCCTCACTCCGCTGGCCACCCACCAGCAGCCCTCGAAAGTGGCGACAGTTTCACAGATCGCAGCCGCCCAGGGGTGGCGAGGTCTAATCTGAGTCCCCGTGGTGCCTCACTCCGCTGGACCCACCAGCAGCCTCGAAAGTGGCGACAGTTTCACACAGGGATGGCGAGGTCTAATCTGAGTCCCCGTGGTGCCTCACTCCGCTGGACCCACCAGCAACCCTCGAAAGTGGCGACAGTTTCACAGATCGCAGCCCCCCAGAGATGGCGAGGTCTAATCTGAGTCCCCGCGGTGCCTCACTCCGCTGGACCCACCAGCAGCCCTCGAAAGTGGCGACAGTTTCACAGATCGCAGCCCCCCAGAGATAGTCCCCGTGGTGCCTCACTCCGCTGGACCCACCAGCAGCCCTCGAAAGTGGTGACAGTTTCACAGATCGCAGCCCCCCCCAGAGATGGCGAGGTCAAATCTGAGTCCCCGTGGTGCCTCACTCCGCTGGACCCACCAGCAGCCCTCGAAAGTGGCGACAGTTTCACAGATCGCAGCCCCCCCCCAGGGATGGCGAGGTCGAATCTGAGTCCCCGTGGTGCCTCACTCCGCTGGACCCACCAGCAGCCCTCGAAAGTGGTGACAGTTCCGCAGATCGCAGCCCGCCAGGGATGACGTGAAAGGCAAGAGAAGAGAAGAGGACGAGCGAAGAGAGGAGGAGAAGGCAAGCAAGAGAGGAGAGGAGGAGGGAAGAGAGGGGGGGGCGGGAGGAGGAGAACGGAGACCGCAGTGCTCTATTCAAAACGAGTGCCCAACGCATGAGGGTTGGGAAACAATTTTGTCGGAGCACGCGGTGGACCGTGGGGGGCTGTGCTATACGCTCCTCGAGCTCGCGGGTGTTATGCAGGAGGTCGATCCGCCAATTTCTTGCGGCTGTATTGCAAGATGTCAATCCTGCAACATTGCGTCTTACGCTTGATTTGAGCCTTCGGGTGCTTCCCCGAGTTCTTGGGCAGACGGTCGGGCGTAACGGTCTGGACGGGCTCACTCCTGGACCGACCCATTGCCCCAAAATTGTCTCCTCGAGCTCGCGGGGGCCTTGCGCGATCATGGAGTTGAGCTTTCGGCGTGCTGACCACACCAGAGGGCTCATCAACCAGAGCGTGGAGCACGCACGCTCCGCACTGTGAGGGGCGCGTTCGCGTACGACCCCGGCCTCTCCCCATGCGAGTACATATGGAACCACAAACACTCAGGTTTTTACGGATGAGACTTCCAAGCGGTCGTGGATCACTTAACTCTGAGGGTCGCCTCATCCGTAAAGATGGGCTTAGGCGCCTTGAAAGCCTATCGCGTACTTGGCCGTTTTCGTCCTCCTCATCCTCCTCTTTCTTTTCTCCCTGCATGCTCATTATCCTGTCCCCGCGTGGGGGGGGGGAGGGGCAGATGCTGCTCTGCTGGGTACCGTATCCTGGCGCTCGGTCCTACGACGGGGGGGTACTGCCAGTCAGTACACGCGGCGTCAGGGGGAGACAAACCCAGCTTACGTCATTCTAGTACCAGTTGCGTGGCATTGTGCCCGTCGTATGTGGCGCCTTAGATGCGCCCGCGGCGTTGGTGCCATGCTTCGCGCCGGTCATCAGGCACGGGGATTGCGCATTTGGTTGAGAGGCGGGGCCGTGTGGTCCGTAAGTCCCATTGGGCCTCGTGTCCGCTCATCCTTGGAAACCCGCGCTAGTCGGTTTGGCAGGGGTTGATGGTCGAAGAAACACCTTTGAAGTGACCCGACCGCCCCCCTACGAACCACGCCATCTCGGCTGGGTGGGAGTCAATGAGCGACGAGGTGTCTCTATATGCCTCAGGCCCTAGGCCCTGATCGGCCTTCGGGACAGGTGCCCTTTCACGGAGCTGGACCGTGGTGGACCGTGGCCCGGCCCCCAGCTCTTTTCCGCGTCTCAGAGTTGCTGTTTGATGATTCTCCTGTATCTCCCAGTCTGCTCCCAACCGTCCCCCGCTTCCTCCTCATCCTTTCCTCCTCCTCCTCCTCCTCCTCTTCTGGTGCTGGCGCCTCTACGTTTGCCCAGAACTCCCCGGAACCCGTGATCTGTGCAACAATGCTTGAAACACCTTCGGAGGGCGACGGTCCTCCCTCCCCGTGCTCCTCTTCCTCGCGATAGTCTGCCTCGTCTGTTGGTCCATGATTGTGATGGCAATCAGAACTGGTCATCCGTTGACTAATCGTCATGTTCCCCAGGCGGCATCCGACCAAGGGGGCTCGAATGCCAGAAACATGTTCCCCCTGTGGTCCGCAGAGAGCTCTCCCGAGTCTGCCAGAGGCAACCAGATGCCTGCATGTTCCCCGCGGGGGTTGTCGGAGGCCTCTGGAGGAACAGAACGTACCAGACATGGCAAAGAGTCTCGACCGTCGTTTTTCCTCGTGTTCCCCAAGGTCCTCTGAAGGCTTCCGGGGGCTTCCAGAGTCACAGTGGGGCAACAATTCCCCACGACCTCGATCCCCGATTCATCCCCTCGCCCTCCTTCCGTGCTGCATCGCCCTTTCCTTGTGGGGTATGCAGCAGAGGTGTGCCTAAGCAGGTCCATTTGTTGCCCTTGCCTCCCCTCGGTGCTGCCAGTGCAGAACGGTCGTGTCCATGCTCCTTGGGGAGTTTGGCGGAGTGCCGCTTCACGCGCATCTCGTGGCCGAAGGGCCGAGGATGAGACTTACTGCGCTGACCCCCAAGACTCCAAGAAGGCCCAAAAGAGCCTCGGGACGTGACCATGGGACCACCTTCGAGCACTTTGACAGTTTGGATTTCGAATTTCGCTCCCAAGGCCTCTTGGACAGCCGTGCGCGACGAGCGAAGAGCGCCCGGGAGCGCCCCAGGAGCTCCGTGAGCTGGATGTTTGGGGCCCTCCGGGGGTATTCCAGTCCTGGCCCACGGCACGGCCGGATGTCTGGATGTCTCTATCGATCTCATTGAAAAGACTTCACCATCGGTCTCACGATCGACCTCACACTCCTCCTCACCATGGATTGCACCATCGATCTCACGATCGATCCCACAATGGATCTCAATATCCATACCACTGATTTTCCAACCATCCACCTCTGGTTGGGGTTTTTCCTTGGTGCAATCTCAGGAGAGGAAAAACACAGACACTATTAATCGCCAATCCCCAGGAAAATATGGGAAAATACAGGAAGTGTGGAAGACAATTACCACAGTGCGACCCTACCTAGAAGTTGGAGCCCCTAGGAAAGCAGCATTAGTTGCTATGCTATGCTATGCTATGCTATACCATGCTATGCTGCGCTATGCTATGCTATGATATGCTATGTTATGCCATGCTATGAGATGCTGCGCTATATTATGATATGATATGATAAGCCATGATATGTCATGCTGCGCTGTGCTATGCTAAGCTGTGATATGAAATGATAAGTTGCGCTATGTTATGAAATACTATGCTATGCTGCGCTATGTTATGCTATGCTATGCTATGCGTGGTTATGTTATGCTATGATATGCTATGCTAATGCTGCGCTGTGCTATGCTATGCTGGATTATGCTATGATATGATATGCTGCGATATGCTACTCTTTGCTATGTTATGATGTGCTCTGCTATTATAAAGCTCAGCGAAGCTAAGATGAAGGTAAGCTAAGCTAACATAAACCTTAGCTAAGATGAAGCTAAGCTAAGCTAAGCTAAGGTGAAATAAGCTAAGCTAAGATGGGATAAGCAACGCTAAGCTAAGGGGACGTGACTGGGGGAACCGCGGGGCGGGTACAGGGGGAACCGCCCGGGGCGGTGTGCACTGCCCGGCCTCTTTCAGAAAGAGAGTAATAAGAACCCTTCTAGGCAGAGCCTAGGTAGGGAAAAACCCTGAGCATGTAGGAAAGTATGGGAATCTGGTTATCTATGTGTATTTATGTGTGTGTCCCAGGGCCCCTTTATAATTTGGACGTTTGAATTCGAAGAGATATGGAGACGCTCCACGCGGTGCCCACGGCACGGTGGCGGCCCGCGGAATTGTCCATTGTGCAGGTTTTACTGCCACTCGCACATTTCCTGTCACGGTCAGAGCGCCTCGCTCGTTCTCCGCCTGCAATAAGGGGGCTTCTAGACTCAACATGCAGCCAACCATGATAGTAAGGACGGGGCAGTTTTCCAAGGCCACCCTTGCATCCCTGGCCCTTCGGTATTCGGCATCCTTCGGCATTCTGCTGCACTCCTTACGGAAGACGTCAACATGGCCCAAGGCCCTTGCATCCTCACCGCGCATCCTTACTATCCTGGGCGAGTGCACTGAGCTGCAATTTTCTCGTCACGGTCAGAGAGCCTCGCCCGCTCTCCGCCTTCAATAAGGAGACACCTAGGCTCAGCATGTTCATGCCTAGCGATGTGTGAGGGATAGTCTGTATGATTATTGCATATGTGCGCGGCACCAAAATCCACATGCAATCCATTGATCTGGAAGCAGGTTCATTGATTCGTCTGCCCTGGCTAACTCTGCCTGTTGTATTGTGTTGCACCCCTCTGGCCTTTCGAGTGACCGCTGTGGGCGAAACTTCCCATGCGCCTTGTCACACTCGGCAGTGTGCGGCGGGCACAACAGCTTTCCACTGGGCCCTGACTCAGATGACGCCGGGTTCCATGCAGGTGTTCCCAGTGAACAGCGTTGAGAGGACCTTCATCAATTGCGCTCCCGTGGAGGAGAGAGAAGAGGAGAGGGACGAGAAGGAAGAAGAGCAGGAGGATGAGCAGGATCCGGGGCAGGGAGGGGGAGGTGAGGGGGAGGAGATGGGGGAGGGGAGGGGCAAGGGAAGGGCAGGAAACGGGGAGGTGCCAGAGGAGGAGGTTGAGGGGAGGTAGGGAGAGGGGGAGAGGAGAGGAGGGGGGAATATGGGGGGGAAGGAAGAGGAGAAACGGACGGGAGGATGAGCAGCAGCAGCAGCTGAAGGGAGGGCAACAAGGGCGCCGAGGAGGTGGGCGAGGATTCGATGAGAGAAGATTCTGGGGCTTACTTACGCCACACCGCCGACCCCTTGGGGAACTAGCGGTTGTTGCGTATCGCTCTTGAGGGCATGTTGTGTGCCTTTCTGGGGGCTTCTTGGAGCTCTTTTCGGGCTTCATTGGCCTTTTGGGCTGACATTCTCAGCTGTCGCCGTGCACGCATGGGGAAACAGGCGAGAACCCACGTATACAGACGGCGGGCATCTGTCAAAACACCCGACGAATGATCATCGAATGGCCTTCGGCACATCCCGCCACCGTGCCCGGGTTGCAGGTTTGAGGCCAATCCCATGGTTGATGGTGTCTCGTGGGAGGCGTCTCGGGGGCATCTTGGAGGTACTTTTGAACCTCTTGGGGGCCTCCTGGTGGCCTCTTGGGGGCTTTTTGCAGCCATCTTGGGGCTCCCTGAGAGCATGTTGGGGGCTTCTTGGAGCAACCTGGAGGCGTCTTGGAGTGGATGACTCGAAATGTCCGTTCGGGTTCCCCCTGTGGGCCCCCTCTTGGGGCTGTCCTGGGGCCCTCCTGGGCCGTCTTGGGGGCTTCTTCGGCCGTCTCGGGGCCCTCTTGGGTCGTTTGGCAGCCCTCTTGGGGGCCTCTTGGCCCGTCTTGGGGCAAACTTGAAGGCATGCCCAAGAGGCGAATGTGCTAAAAATGCACGTCCGCAGGGAATGGAACGATGTTTGCTTCTGGAGGCCCTCTTGGGACGACCCTTGGGGGCTTCTTGGGGCGTCTTGGGGGCTTCTTGGGTCGTCTGGAGGCCAGCGTGGGCGTTTTGGATAGATCTTTCAGCGACTCCTGGCCCTCGTGGACGGCCCCAAAGGGCCTCTTGGGGCCCTATTGGCTCGTTTTGGGGCCCTCTGCCCCCCCCGGATGCGGTCAGCCAGATCCCGGGGGACCCCCCCCTCTTCCAAATCGACTGGACCGGGCTCCTGGGGGAGGGCTTTGGGGAGGGGGGAAACATCTCACACGCCGATGAACCCCAAGGGGTCGGCGGATTTTTGTAGGAGGTAGGAGGAGAGATGAAGAGGAGGACGGAGCTGAGGTAGGAGGAAGAGGGCAAAGAGCAGAATGAGGAGGAAGAGGAGGTGGAAATAGAGGAAAAGGAAGAGTAGCAGGAGGGATGAGGAGGGGGCGGACGGAGAAGGACGATCAGGAGGATGTTGTCCGACCAGGGCGGGAACGTCTCAATAACGTCACGGGTCGGGGCCGCCATGTGCGTTTGCTTCAATGCTCCCTCATTGGGTCTGGTATGGCGCTCAATGGTGATCCTCTTGATGCAGCGGCGGCTCTGGCGCGGTCATCCCGATTGGTGGCCCGCACCAGCGGGGTGCGCGAAGGGTGCGGCCTTCAAAGAAGGAGGGGGGTCCTGAGAAGGCCTGGGGCTTCTGAGAAGGGCTTGGAGGCGTCCCCACTAAGCGCCGCCAGCTCTTGCCACCCTTTGCCCAAGATCAGCATCAGCATCCAGGATATGTTGTACTTCTGCGGATCTGGCGACTAGGGAAACGTGTTGGATGATGGTCTAGGCCACCAGCGGTAGCAAAGGGAGGGCCCAAATTTCACATGTGCGTGGGCCTGAATAAGGGCTAGCATAAGCCAGTCGAAAAACATGTTTCACCAGAGAAGGGCAGTCGTCTTCATTGTCGGTCGTCTTCGCCTGGGTCATCTTCGCCGCAGTAGTTGCAAGTCGTCTTCGCCGGGATCGTCTTCGCCGGCGGTCGTCTTCGCCGCCGTCATTTTTGCCAGGGTCGTATTCGCTGGTGGTCGTCTTCGCCGGCTGTCGGCTTCGCCGCGGTCGTCTTCGCCCGCGGTCGTCTTCGCCCGCGGTCGCCTTCGCCGGCGTGCAGTTGTCGCCAATCGTCTTCGCCGTCCTGGTCGTCATCACGCCGCTGCTCCCGTAGCATCCTGTTCGTCGTCGTCGCAGTCGTTGCAGCATCCTGCTCGTCGTCGTTGCAGTCGTCGTGCTCCTGTTCGTCGTCACCGCCGTCGCCGTCATGGTGGTCGTCATCGTGTTCGTCGTCGCTGAACTGGCGGACCCTCACGGGCTGGTCGAGTTGGCGGACCCTGACGGGCGAGTCGGGCGGGTGGGTCCCCGACGGCCGACCTGCAGGCGGTCTTGAGCGCAAGCGGACGTGCGGATTTTGCCTGGCGGGCCAGGTGGGGTGAGACCCTAACGGGCGGGTCGGGCGGGTGGGACCCTGGCGGGCGGGTCGGGCGGGTGAACCCTGACTGGTGGGTCGGGCGGGGGGGGCATGAAAGCGGGCGGGCGTGCTTGGGAGGGAGCAAACGTGCGGACCTGAACAGGCAGGTCGGGCGGGCAGGAGGACCCTGACCTGCGGGTCTGGCGGGCGACCAGAATAGGCTGTCTGGCAAAAGAGGTGCTCACAGGCGGGCTGGCCGGGCGGATCTTGATTGGCGGGCCCCGCGGGCCGGCCCGAACGGACGCGTCGGACGGACAGGTCCCTGACGACCAGGCGAAGGCCACCAGGCGAAGACAACCAGGCGAAGACGACCAGGCGAAGGCGACGGCGGTGAAAACGAACGCCGGCGAAGACGATCGGGCGAAGACGATCGGGCGAAGACGACAGGGTGAAGGCGACAGGGCGAAGGCGACGGCTGTAAAAACGAACGCGGGCGAAGACGACCTGGCGAACACAACCAGGCAAAGGCGACCTGGCGAAGGCGACCCGGCGAAGGCGACCCCATCGAATATGTCCAGGCCAAGACGTCCGCGGACGAAGACGACCGCGGTGAAGACGACCGCCGCGTAGACGGCCTCCTCGGGGACATTCTCCGTCCAGACCCAGGGGAAGGGGCAGGGGAGGGGTATACTCTGCCCACAGATGAAGAAGGGCGCTGGATTTTTTTGTTCTTCTAAGAGTCACCTGCGCGCAGAGGGCCGGTGCGAGTGCCCGCCGACGCTTGGCGCGCCGCGGCGCACGCTCCGTCCAGCAGCAGGCCTAGGCAAGAGTGGGAGACCGCTATTTGGAGCCTATGCCACAAATACCGTTTTCATTTTCTGGCCTCAAGCGTCTATAGACACATAAGCACATTGATACACACATTCGGGGTGCATCGGATATCTAAGTGAAACAGAGAGCCCCCCACCGGTAAATCGGTTTCGGTGTCGTGTTCGTGTCGTGCGTGCGGGCGATTCGAAGCTGCGTGGGGGGCGGGGGGGATGAACGCTCCTCTGGCGAGGGCGCCGCCAGGCCAAAAGACCGCCACCCTGGGGTTGTCCGGCGGTCGCTAAGGGTGTCCCGCCGTGATGTCCCGATGGTGTCCCGTGGTGGCCCGTGGTGGCCCGTCGGTGTCCCGTCGGTGCCCCGTATTGAGATCGGTGGTGAGATCGATACTGAGATCGATCGTGGCAGCGATAGTTGGATCCAAAGTCATTTCCATAGCGATATTGATAGTAATATCGATCGTTGGATCGATACTGTCATCGATAGTGATATCGGTAGTGAGACCGAGTGTGAGATGAATTAAGGTCGATCGTGAGATTGATAGTGAGATCGTTTGTGAGACCGATCGTGAGATCGATTGTTAGATCGACTGTGAGATCGATAGCGCGGTCGATAGTGAGATCGATTGAGTGAGTCGTTTTGGTTCCTCCCCCCGAACCCCGTTATCACCCGAAGGGTGTTCGCACAGGTACACCTCTGTAGACAACGTGGCCACTGCATTCGGCGCAGTACAAGGTCGGAGAAAGGCCAGAGCCGTCTGCAGCATGCTTCCTTTCTGGCATGTTCTTGGCATCGCTCGGACGTGTGTATTTCTTTCTGCGAGGACCATCGAGGAGCATCCTTGATCATTTGACGAATAGTCCGAGCGATGGCCAGGTAGAGCAGGCCCCACACGGCACTCCAACGCCGAGGGTCTTTCCGCACCGTAGCGCTCGGCCAGCGTTTGGCCCGCGTCTCGAGGCGAGCGCGCGGGCCCTGCACCTGCCAGGCCGTTCTTGGCAGGTCGCCCCGGGGCTGAGCGAGGAAGGCGCACCGATTCCGATGGCGCAGGGCCCTCCTCCTCCTCCTCCTCCTCCTCCTCCTCCTCCTCCTCCTCCTCCTCCTCCTCCTCCTCCTCATCTCATCCCTCCTCCTCCTCATCCCTCCTCCTCCTCTCCTCCTCCTCCTCCTCCTCATCTCATGTTGCTTCGCAACTGTTCCGATTCCGATTCCGATTCCTCCTCCTCATCTCCTTCCTCCTCCTCCTCCTCCTCCTCCTCTCCTCCTCCTCTCCTCCTCCTCCTCCTCCTACCCTCCTCCTCCTCCTCCTCCTCATCTCCTCCTCCTCCTCCTCCTCTCCTCCTCCTCCTCCCTCCTCCTCCTCCTCCTCCCTCCTCTCTCCTCCTCTCCCTCCTCCTCCTCCTCCCTCCTCCTCCTCCTCTCCTCCTCTCCTCCCTCCCCCCTCCTCCTCCTTCTCCTCCTCCTCCTCCTCCTTTTCCTTCTCCTCCTCCATCCCCTGATGGCGCGCCGATTCTGACGCGACGTTGAACGATCCGACGTTTTGGAAACCGCCGATCGCTCGAGGTTGAACGATCCCCGCGGTGTCAGAAACCAACGCCGAAGGCGGCACGACACGAATTTGCCGCAATGTTTCTTGGCGCTTCGCGTGGTCCCACCAGCCAAACCAGGGACGATGCCCACGAGGACGACGACGACGACGACGACGACGACGACGACGACGACGACGACGACGACGACGACGACGACGACGACGACGACGACGACGACGCGCGGGGGACGACGACGACGAGGAGGAGGAGGAGGACGAGGAGGAGGAGGAGCAGGAGGGAGAGGAGGAGGACGACGAGGAGGAGATGGAGGAGGAGGACGAGGAGGAGAAGGAGGAGGAGGACGACGAGGAGGACGTGGAGGAGGAGGACGACGAGGAGGAGGTGGAGGAGGAGGACGACGACGACGGCGAGGAGAAGCCAACGCCGAAGTCGGCACGAGGCGAGCCTGCAGTGCACACCCCACCCCGAAAAGGGCCACCAGGGGAGGAGGAGGAGGAGGAGGAGGAGGAGGAGGAGGAGGAGGAGGAGGAGGAGGAGGAGGAGGAGGAGGAGGAGGAGGAGGAGGAGGAGGAGGTGGAGGAGGAGCTGGAATGAGGTGGAGGAGAAGTGGGGGAGGAGGAGAGGAGGAGGAGGAGGAGAGGAGAGGAGGAGGAGCAGGAGGCAGGAGGCAGGAGGCAGGAGGCAGGAGGCAGGAGGAGGAGGAGGAGGAGGAGGAGGAGGGGACGGAGGAGACAGGAGGAGGAGGAACAGACAGGAGGGGGGAGGGGGGCCAGGGCAGAGGGGAAGGGGGATGATTGCAGGGGGGGGGGGGAGGAAGGAAGGAGGAGGGGTCCCCCTGGAGCTAAGACAGGTCAGCGGGTCCTGGAGATCCCTCGAGGTCCTAGGAGGCATCCCGGAAACTTCGGGAAGCCCCGACGGGTGGGGACAATGTTGGCAACCAATCGTTGTTCTCGGGGGAGGAGGAAGAGAAGAAGGAGGAGGAGGATGAGGAGGAAGAAGAGGAGGAGTTGGAAGAGGAGGTGGAGCAGAGAAGGCAGAGGAGACAGCAGCACCGCAAAGAGGATCTTCAACATCATCTGCCTCATTGGTGGCCTCCTGGTTTTCTCCGCCTTGGTGTCAGCGATCTCGGCGAGCGCGGCACAGCTCAAGATCGACATGCAGGCCTTGTGATCCTCAAAGTCATTATCCTCTCTCCTCCTCCGCTTTCTTCGTCCTCATCTTCCGCCTCGTGCTCTTCCTCCCCCTCATCCTTTTATTATATCCTCCCCATCATCCTTCCTTTCTTTATTCCCATCATCACCGCCATCAGCATCCTCCGTAGCCATTTCGGCTCAAGCTCGAAATACGTATCCCTGGTGTGTCGAGCTTGTTCGCAGCTGAGAGGACAGCTCGAAATCCGGGCGCAGCTGCCCTTGCTTTGCTTGCTCCTCCCTTTCCGACCTGTTCGGGTCCCGATATTTTCGGGGGCGCGATAGCTCGCAAAGGCGCCGACGTTGATCTCGGAGCTGACGCTTCACGTGGCCAGGATGATCGATTCCTTCGTTTCGGTAACGGCTCAGGTCTCTCAGCTTGTCTGTCACGCCAAGGATTTGCAATCTGGGTCATGCGACCATCAGCGTGTCGGCGATAGCAGCGAAGGCGGTGACGGTAGTTCGGTTAAGAAACCACGTGCCACGCCTCGTCCTCGTCTCCGTTTTCCTTGTTTGCTGTCGAGGGCCGCCCTTGCCGGTTTCAGTGGCGACTGCGCTCGTAAGGTTCTGTTCGGAGCAGGTGTTGCAGTTCTCCCCGCGTGCGCTGCTGAGCACGTGAAGTCTGCGATGGGGATCGCCCCCAGATTTCCTCGAAGAAAGTGACTTTTGCGTCCCCGTTTCCAGAAGCAGCTTCCGACATGACCGATGCCCGAAACCGTTTAGGAATCACTACCCCGGCGGTTTCGAGCACGCCGCCCCCAGGGGCCCCGCGAGCCCGCGAGTTGCGTGTGAAGCTCCTTCGCGATGGTGAGAATCACAAGCAGTTGACGGTGATGTGCGGGATTCGCAGCGACTTCGATGTGACAGTTACGGTTGATTCGCCCCTCTCGAAGTGGCCCATCGGTTTGTCAGTCGGCAACTCATCTTCGCAAGCGGGTATGAGACAGGCGACGTTGTGTGAGGATGTTTCAAACGAACGCCATCCAGGCGCGAGAGTTCCAGGGAAACGGAATGCCCGGCAGGGCTCTCCAGGAGGGCCGGGCGTTCGCTCTTTCCGCGGGGCGTGCGGCGAGCGGCCCAATGGCCTTAAACGGCAGCGGTCGTGAGAAGTGAAGGGCAGCACGAGAAAAGGGGGACAAGGAGAAACGGGGCGAGAACAGAAGGATGGACAAGACGACTAGAAGAGGGATGAAGTCGCTCCACAACCTCTGCCTCTTTTCTTCTAAAAGGGCCAAAGGCTGGCCCAGAGGTCGGTCAGTATTTGTTGTCGTCGTCCTCTTTGTTTTCTTCTTCTCGGCGCGTTTTGTGGCTTTCTTTGCTTGCGGGGCTGCGCTCGGAGGAGGCCTCTTCGTGTTCTTGTCAGTGGACAGCCTCAGCTCTGGTGCCCGCTCTGCCTTCGCGAAGGCGTGGCTCCTGTCATTCGTTGCTTTATCGTTTCCATTGCACGACAATGATCTGCAAGACCCTGACGAATCGGAACGAACCGAACTACAACTATCATCTCTACTGCGAGACCCCCCTCGTGGAGTGACAGGACGCGGCGTCTCTGGTGTTCCACGGTCCGAAACGTAATCCGGAACGCGAACAACACTCTGTGCCCGGCCAGCATGCCTACCACGACGTTGTTCCCATTCGGCCCTTTCTTTTTTGCTTTCTGTCTGTCCCGGAGTTTCCTGGCGGACACGTCATGGCGCATATGTTGGACATCTCTGCGATACAGATGATCGTGGTATTTTTCTGGCTTGCCACAGGCAGGCATCATTCTTATCAGCGTCCTTGATGCGCGTATCCATGCAGATTGCTTTCTGCGTTGCCTGCAACTCCTTGTGTGCCAGATCTATTGCCCGCACAAGCTGTCGCTCCCGAGAGATATCTTGCTTGTTCTGCAGTTTCTGCATGATGTCCCTGCGCTTGGTGCACATCATGCTCAAAGCACTGCAGTGGGGCTGCCGCTCCACGCCGCTCAGGCGACGTGCCGGCGGAAGCGCCGCGAGCTGCTCTACGGTTGCGCGCACTGCTGGATGGGGCCGGAGGGGCTGGCGGACATATCTTCGAAGAAGCACCTGAATGTGACTGTGGGGGTCGAGCTTTGCTCGTGCAGCCGGGCGCTGCTGGCACCCTGGCGCCGATAGCAGTAGCAACCACGGCACAAATGACCGCCGTTCCCTCAGCCGGCCAACCCAGGCGCGAAGGTGGAGACGCCTTTGCGCTGGCACTTGCTGGCTGTGCGATGGCCAGTCTGCTTGCCGAGGTGAACGCAAGTGCACCAGAACGGATAGGTGCTAGAATCTCTCCTGGGATGGATTTGTCCTTGGTGAGAGGATCAGCGACCATCTCTGAATCTGGCAACCAGAGCAGTTCCAAAGGCAGTACCTTGTCACAGCGTTTTGAAATCCATGAAACGACAGCTTCTCGAACTCTCTGGAACGCTGGAGTAAGATCTCCATCCGAAAGGTGTGGCGTAGCAGAGTAGATGTTGGTTGCCCAGAGGGGTCCCGAGGCGGCCCGGGCCCGCCCCGAAACAGGCCACGACAGGCGAATGAAGGGCCCGAGAGGGCCCTACACGGTCCCAAGAGGCCTCGAAGACGCCCAAGATGCCCTCAAGACGGCCGACGAGGACTCCAACACGCCCCAGGACGGACTCAAGAGGCTCCCCAAGAGGGCCCTGGAAGGCAAGATTCAATAATTTCCGATGGTTTTTGAAGGATTTCGGCGTTCTTGCTTCCCCCGCTTCCCAACGCTCCCTCACGGCCTCGCTCGGAGGCCCTTTAGATCGCTCCAAGACGGGCCACGAGGCCCGGGAAGAGGGCCCCAAGACGGCCCAAGAGGCTCCCTTGACAACCCAGCTGTGCCCCAAGAGCTCCCCAAGAGAGGGCCCAGAGGGGGACCGCCAACCGATATTTCGATGTCTCTGGCCCTAGAGGCCGCCTGTAGGCACCCGGAGGCCACCAAGAGGCTTCCACGAAGCCCCGTGAGGCGCCCAAGAGGCCCCCAGGAAACCCCAAGAGACCCCCAAGGGGCTCCCGGGGAACGCCCAAGAGGCCCCCCAACGCACCCCAAGAAATCATGTCCCCAGAAAACCTTCCGGGGACATAGTTCATCATGGGCCCGAGAGTTCACGGAGGCCACCAGAGGGCCCCCAGTGCCCAAGAGACCCCCCAACACATCCCAACAAAACATGTCCCCAGAAAGCCTTCCGGGGACATGGTTCATCATGGGCCCGCGAGTCCCCGGAGGCCTCGAAGTACCATCATGCTACAGGAGAGCTGTCTGGGAAGCTGAATGGGAACATGACTGATCGCTTTCTCGCGGCCCTCCGCAGATCGTTTCGCACAAAGTTGCCCCAAGTGCCCTCTTGAACCGACGACGACGAAACGACGACGACGACGACGACGACGACGACGACGACGACGACGACGACGACGACGGCGACGGCGACGGCGACGGCGGCGGCGGCGGCGGCGGCGGCGGCGACGACGACGACGACGACGACGACGGCGCGCCCCAATAGGCGACGACGACATTACGACGACGACGACGACGACGACGACGACGACGACGACGACGACGACGACGACGACGACGACGACGACGGCACGCCCCAACAGGCTCCCCAAGACGCCCCAAAACCCATGCTCCCAGAAGACGCCCCAGAACCCGATTCATACGGCCTCCGCCCCCCTACACAACCATTTTCCTCGAATGCCTTTTCTGAATGCAGATTGGCATGCGTGGACTGTGGTCCAGGACTTCAGTGGAGCAAGCAATGAATTCGTCAAGATCTGAGGCCTGCTAGAACCTGAGCGCGCGCGAAGCGCGCGCGATGGTTCTAGAAATATATACATATAACGGCGCACCGGGTCCGGGGGCCCGGGGCCGGGACCTCGACCGCAAATGTGCACCCCGGGGGCCCCGGAGGCTCGTCGGGGCTTGCCGGAGGCCTCCCCGGTCAGACAAGACGGCCCCAGAAACGCCCAAGACGGCCCAAGAAACTTCCAAGAGGCCTCCAAGAGGGCTCCGAGATGCTGAAGATGGCCTCCAGACGTCCAAGGACGCCCCCCAAGACGCCCCAAGAAGCCTCCAACATGCGTCCCAAGAGGGCCCCTAGACGCAAAAATTGGCCCATTCCCTTCGTAAAACGTACATTTTTCACAAAGTTGCCTTTTGGGCTTTCCGACATTACAGGACGGCCCAAGAGGCGCCCAAGACCGCCCCAAGACGGCCCAAGAAGCTCCCAAGAGTGCCCCAGGACAGCCCAAGAGGGCCCCAAGACGGCCCAAGAGGCGCCCAAGATGGCCCAAGAGGGCCCCAAGACGGGCCCAAGAGGGGGCCCAGAGGGGGACCACGAACCGCAAGCTCGAGCCTTCCGCCCCAAGAGGCCGCCAGGAGGCCCCCAGGAGGCCCCTCAAGAGGCCCCAGGAGACCCCAGACGTCCAAGGACGCCCCCAAGAGGCCCCAAGAAGCCTCCAACATGCGTCCCAAGAGGGCCCCTAGACGCAAGAATTGGCCCATTCCCTTCGTAAAACGTACATTTTTAACAAAGTCGCCTTTTGGGCTTTCCGACGTTACAGGACGGCCCAAGAGGCGCCCAAGACCGCCCCAAGACCGCCCAAGAAGTTTCCCAGAGGGCCCCAGGACAGCCCAAGAGGGCCCCAAGACGGCCCAAGAGGCGCCCAAGATGGCCCAAGAGGGCCCCAAGACGGGCCCAAGAGGGGGCCCAGAGGGGGACCACGAACCGCAAGCTCGAGCCTTCCGCCCCAAGAGGCCGCCAGGAGGCCCCCAGGAGGCCCCTCAAGAGGCCCCAGGAGACCCCAGACGTCCAAGGACGCCCCCAAGAGGCCCCAAGAAGCCTCCAACATGCGTCCCAAGAGGGCCCCTAGACGCAAGAATTGGCCCATTCCCTTTGTAAAACGTACATTTTCAACAAAGTTGTCTTTTGGGCTTTCCGACGTTACAGGACGGCCCAAGAGGCGCCCAAGACCGCCCCAAGACGGCCCAAGAAGCTCCCAAGAGGGCCCCAGGACAGCCCAAGAGGGCCCCAAGACGGCCCAAGAGGCGCCCAAGATGGCCCAAGAGGGCCCCAAGACGGGCCCAAGAGGGGGCCCAGAGGGGGACCACGAACCGCAAGCTCGAGCCTTCCGCCCCAAGAGGCCGCCAGGAGGCCCCCAGGAGGCCCCTCAAGAGGCCCCAGGAGACCCCAGACGTCCAAGGACGCCCCCAAGAGGCCCCAAGAAGCCTCCAACATGCGTCCCAAGAGGGCCCCTAGACGCAAAAATTGGCCCATTCCCTTCGTAAAACGTACATTTTCAACAAAGTTGTCTTTTGGGCTTTCCGACGTTACAGGACGGCCCAAGAGGCGCCCAAGACCGCCCCAAGACGGCCCAAGAAGCTTCCAAGAGGGCCCCAGGACAGCCCAAGAGGGCCCCAAGACGGCCCAAGAGGCGCCCAAGATGGCCCAAGAGGGCCCCAAGACGGGCCCAAGAGGGGGCCCAGAGGGAACCCCACGTGGGCCCAAGGAGGCCCAAGAGGGACCCAAGAGAGCCCCAAGAGAGCCCCAACATCGGTCACGCGGAAGAGCTCTCGCGTGACCGATGTTGGGCCCCCTCTTTGGGCTCCTCTTGGTGCTCCGAGAGGAGCCAAAGATGGCCCCACGAGGGCCCCGACGAGACCCCAAGAGGACCCAAGCAGGCCCAAGAGGGACCCAAGAGAGCCCCAGCATAGGTCACGCGGAAGAGCCCTCGCGTGACCGATGTTGAGCCCCTCTTTGGGCTCCTCTTGGAGCTCCAAGAGGGGCCCAAGATGGCCCCACGAGGGCCCCGAGGGAGCCCCACGTGGGCCCAAGGAGGCCCAAGGAACCCCAAGATGGCCCCAACATCGGTCACGCGGAAGAGCTCTCGCGTGACCGATGTTGGGCCCCCTCTTTGGGCTCCTCTTGGTGCTCCGAGAGGAGCCCAAGATGGCCCCACGAGGGCCCCGTCGAGACCCCAAGAGGGCCCAAGGAGGCCCAATAGGGCCCCAAGAGGGCCCCAACATCGGTCACGCGAAAGAGCTCTCGCGTGACCGATGTTGGGCCCCTCTGTGGGCTCCTCTTGGAGCTCCGAGAGGAGCCCAAGGTGGCCCCACGAGGGCCCCGACGAGCCCCAAGAGAGCCCAAGAGGGCCCCAAGAGCGCCCCAACATCTCCTCTCCTTCCTCCTCCTCCCTCCTCTGCATCTTCCTCCTCCTCCTCCTTCTCATCCTCCTCCTCCTCCTCCTCCTCCTCCTCCTCCGTCTCCTCTCCAGGGGAATGAAAACCAGAGGATAGCTCACGGAGAGCCCAAACACCCTCTTGTTGCATCCATCTTGGCTTCCAGATGGAGCCCAAGAAGGCCCCAAGGAGGCCCCTCAAGAGGCCCCAGGAGACCCCAGACGTCCAAGGACGCCCCCAAGACGCTTCGCGTCACCAATTTCTTCTCGCAGCGATTCCTGGGTCTGTGACTCGACAGAACCTAAGCGCGCGCGAAGCGCGCGCGTGGTTCTAGTATATATATATATATACATATAATGTGTGTGCTCCTCCCCTTCCTCTTCATCCTGCCCCTTTTTTTGCTCCTCCTCGTGCCCATTCTCTCTTTCTCTTTCTGCCCCTCCTCGCTCCACCTCCGCCTCCTCCTCCTGCTCGTCCGCCTCATCTCTGGCATCTCGCTGCCCCCCTCCCTCTCCCCATCCTCCTGCACATCATCCCGCAGGGGCACAGCCGGGAGATGGAGAGGCTGATCCGCTTCTTGCACAGGTCGCACATAGACGACGGGGAAGGGGAGACGACGAACGGGGTATGGTGATGAGGAAGAGGAAGGCCAGCGTAAGCCCAAGACGCATCAACGATGTTGCAGTGAGCCCTCCCTCCAAGTTTTGCCTTCCTGGTCCCTAGAACAATGTAGGTTGACTGCGGCAAGTGCCCCATCGGAAGACAACCGTTCGATAATCCTCAATCGTAGCCAAAGAAAACTATTGGGACTTCAGCCCCGCGAATCAATGTGATTGTTCCGTCATGACAATCCGGAATACCGCCAGGACATCATTCCCGGGAATCCAACATGGCGAATCAACGTGATCGTCGCGCCCTGACAATCGAAGTCGTGACAGAGCACCAATCCAGGGACATCAACCACACGAAGGCTGGCAACTGCTGCAAACTGTAATACGAATATACGCGACACCAGGGCGAGAGCTACATTCTTTTAAACCGCTCACCGTTCATCGTTGGAAATGTTATATATATATATATAGTTCAGGCTTCTGGATCACAAGTGGCGGGGAAGTCGCAGGCGAAATGCTGGGCACGCCCTTGCGACACGTATGGGGATGCGACAGGGAAGAGTTGTTTGCAAGGAAAGGGATGGATGAGGAGGAGGAGGAGGGATAATTACAGTTGATCAGGGATTGACTGACGTCTCGTGGTCGCCGAGGAGGGGCGATTAAGAAGAAGGGGCGGGAAGAGGAGAAGGAGGGGGAGGATCGCAGTTCGAGGATCGAGGTTTCAGGATCGAGGATCGAGGAGGAGGAAGCTGGTCCGATTCCTGCACAGGTCGCACATTGAGCCCGAGCTCAGAATGCAGGTCTGCAAGCAGATCAGAGTGAAATTGGTGCAGCGACGACCCGAGGTGATCAAGGACTCGGCCCCCCCTTCTCCTCTCCACCCCTCTCCCTCCCTTGCTTCGACGTCGAACCTTCAGACCAGGGCTCGCACGATGGACGAACATGGAACGCGGCACAGAGTGCTGAACATCTTGTGCCACGCAGCTCTGCCTGTCCTCCTCTTCCTCCTCCCCTCCTCCTCTTTCGCCCAGCGGGCCCGAGCCCTGGAGAAAGGACCTGTCGGTGCTCGGCCTGCTCTCGCTGTCGCTGCGCCACGCGCTCCAGCTGGCGCTCTGCAACCCGCACCTCCTGGAGCACCCCCTGCTCCACTTCCTCTCCATCGCCGACGCCGCGATGTGGGAGGAGATCTGCATGAGGTGTGCGCACTTCTCCGTGCTGGTGAAGCGGGACAGCCTCTTCGTCTTCGGGGCCGAGGCCGAGGGGATCTACTTCGTGGTGCGCGGGCCCCTGTCCTACGACCTGGACAAGAGCTTCCCGGCGCAGACCTCAGAGACGAAGCAGGCCCATGGTCCGCCGACCACTCCGAAGGCCAATTGGGGCCTGAGAACTGCCAGGCAGACCCTCCAGATGAGTATCGTTGAACCGATCCCTGTCCCCATCTCCATCCCCGTCCCGATCCTCACCATCCCACCACCCCAGTTGGGGACGTGCCCATCGAGACCCGACGGGGGCCAGCCTACGTCCCCATCCAGGGGGGTACATCGACCAATGGGGCCCAGGCCACGCCCGCGGTGATGGGGATCGGTTGCTCGACGCACGATGCTCAGCGCACCCGAGGCGAACAACAGAAAACAGCCCCCACGACGGAGACACGGCCGAGGCCGACTGCCACCCGTGCAGGGGAGGTCTGCCAGGGTGGCTCCTGGGCCCCGTGGCCTTCGAGGGTGGCGAGCGGACCGCTCGCGGAGGCCGAGACCGGCTCCTGGCTCTCCGAGGCGGCGTTGTGGTGCCACTGGCGGCACATGGGCTGCGCCGAGGCCAGGCGCTTCCTCGCGTCCTTCCTCCCTCGCCCCCTGCCGCCCTCCCCCTCCGCCCCCTCCTCCCCCTCCTCCTCCTCCTCCTCCTCCTCCTCCTTCTCCTCCTCCTCCTCCTCCTCCTCCTCCTCCTCCTCCTCCTCAGGGGGCAGCCTTCAAGGCCGCCTCTCGAAGCAGACTGCAAATACCGCGAACACCGTGAAATAGCAGGCTGCGAAATAGTATGGTACGAACAACTGCCCTAGATCCAACAATCTTGAGGATGAGGAGGAAGGGGATAGGGATGAGAGGGAGGAGGAGAAGGAGGAGGAGGAGGAGGAGGCGGAGGAGGAGGAGGAGGAGGAAGGAGATAAGTAGGGGGAGGAGGGAGAGGAAGAGGAGGAGGAGGAGGCGGAGGAGGAGGAGGAGGAGGAGGAGGAGGAGGAGGAGGAGGAAGGAGATGCGTGTGACCAAACGCGATGCGAGGCGGGGAAATCGAAGCTACGAGCGCTTGCCAGCGAGCTTCTCGGACTTGCCGAGAGCCTGCGGCCTTCGATCGGAGTGGGTGCGATTGGGATCACCACGTCGAGTTGCATTCGTAGGCCCAAGACATTGGTGTCCCAGGTGTTTGGCTGCTTCACTACCATAGAATCCACATGCACAGAACCACAGTTTCAGTTGTTCGTCTAACCGCATGCGGCGATTATGATAATCCCAGCCCCCCCCCCCACGTACAACCTACTGGAAGGAGGGAGGACGAAGAACCTCCCGTCCACATTCACAGGCTGAAAACATGGGATTCTATCCATCCGCTCTGCGTCGCAAGGATGGCAGAATTGAAACACTGGGTACATCTGACTCGTCAACATCGTGGCAAATTGCGAACGGCCTGACCGCAGCAGGAGGAGGGGGGAGATGGAGGGCCCGGCTCCGTTTGTTCCTCAGACTCCCCGATCTCTCCTTCTCCTGCTCGGCCTCCGCGTCCATCGTTCCCAAAGTGGCACGAAGTAGACGCATGCGCATGTAATAGGCATCCTTCTCGATGCTCATTATATGGAACTTGACGTCGCCGCTGATGCTGACCTTGGCCGCCGCTGCACCTGCCAAGCCATCAACTACTTCGTTGCCCATCGCCAGCTTCCATTTCGCCTTCCCAGCAACGAGGTCGGATCCAGACAAATTCGAAATGACAAACATGGCCGTTAACTCTGTCTAATATCTGCTCTGGAAGGGCTGTCCTTTGCGCCCCTATGGGCGTGAGAAACTGCTTGTTGGCCCATCCATCTGCTACCATTGCGACGGCAGCCAGAAATCCCGCTGCCAGGCCCACTCTGCGAAACCGAGGATCTGTCGTGTCACTGCCCCCGCTGGCGTCACCGAGCATCCAGACGAGGTGATATCTGGCCCCGTGGCCAAAAGTGATGTAGTCATTATTCCAAGCTGTGCCACCTGAAATGTGCCAAGCTCTTCCTCCGTCGGAGGTGCAGTTGCTATCCACTCAGACGGTACGAGCACTCAGCCAAACGTATTCCGAATGTTCGTGCCTAACGTAAGCACGATGGCATACATGATATGATAATGCGTAAGTTGGTGAACCAACACTCTTGCACAAGCATGCCATCTATGAAACATGTCCTCGCCCTCGCTCTTACATCTCTGACCTGTGCTCCAAATCTGAGAAGCCTTTCTACCCGATGTCGACTCGACGTGTCCTGGGCCAGCACCCTCCTGTTGCGACAGTACAAAGAACCACCGCCATCCTGCCCCCTTTCGGCATCCATACCAACTGCTTCTACAACGTCCTCAAAGTCAGCATGCCAACACCTTGCTGCACTCCATCGCCACAATTATGTGCTGACGCCTGCTACCACAACTCCTGTCGGATGCTATGCTGGAAGTCCTCGACTAGGCTTTTGGGAGCGTCGACGTTATAGTTGTTCCCCGTCCATGCCAAGTCAGGGAACCTCCACTCGACCTCCTCGCCCTGAGGCCCGTGAGGAAGAAACCAGCATATTGCAGATTGTGGGTCCCAACCCGTATCCAGCAACAAGGTGGCCATCGCCGAGGGAGGCCCACGCATGTGCCTGGATCTCTGTACCGCTGGGACTGCCCGCAGATGAGCAACGACTGCCGGCCCCGCTGCGCCGACACTCTCCCTCAGTGAAGGTTCCTGCCACATGCCAAACCATAATCGCACACACACACACACACACACTCCTCGGCTCCTCGGGCATCCCTGGGCAGGACCAGCAGAGTCCGTCCTCTCGCCATCGACCCGCGCGCTGCCCCCAGCCTTCTCCTGTACGTGGTGAGATGGGTGCCGAAGGCCACGTGGCTCTGGCAGGAGTACGACCCCGGCGCCTGCGATCTCAGCATCTCGGGCTTGGACGTGATACTGTACATCCGTCCTGACGTAGTGAACCTCCTGCTTGCCCGATGCATATGACAATGTGTAACACATCGCGCCCGTCCGGTCGCGCGAACATGCTGCCTGCCATTGCCCAGGTCACTGCCACAGTATGGCGCTGACCTTTGGGCCTTGATGTTGAGACCTGCGCGGCGCAGTGCTCGAGTGACTTTGACAGTATCATCATGAGGAGAACACATGACGACGCTTTGCTTGGCCACCTGCCTTGGTCAACCCCTTGCAGGTCATGGTCGGGCTTTTGATGAGCTGTTCGCACACTGACTTGCGGGATGCAACCGCTCGTTGGGACGAGTCGCCCTCCTGCATTCAATGCCCCATGCGTTAGGTGTGCTGTGTACACTTTTCCCCAACGTGAGATGCACTACGATGCGAGCGAACCTGGTGCCCGATTTGAGCTCCTGCACGATGGACTGCGATGGCACCAGCGGTAGCGCCAACGCACCACATTGGCCCAGGGACCTGGGCGGCATGCATTGAAGCGTCTACGAGCATAAAATGGCCGCTGGAAGCGCAAGCCTTAGCCCACTGCGTAAGAGATGTTGCCATCGAATTGCGTCGTAGAAGCCCTCGATATCCAGCAACGCATGCTCTGAGGGTATGTGCAGTGCGTTGCCGATCTCCTCTTTAAGCCTTCTGGTGAACGCCCTTCTGGGAGCGGCATTTCCCTTCGCGGCTGCGTCCCAGTGGGCCGCCGCGGAATCGCTCCAGTCGCACGCGCCTGGTTCCCTCGCCGATAACCATCTGCGACAGAATATGACCAACAGGCCAACGATGCGATCTCCGTCACCTTTCTCAGGGAGAAGCCTCCCCAAGACACACTGAAGTTGTTGTGGCCAAGCCACCATCCTTCCAACACGCGGATCTGACTCAGCATGCTCATCCAGCGCGGTCGTCGACAGTCTCTCAAAGTCGACAGGCGTGAGCCTATCGACTCCAATGCTGGCTTCAGCCCACATAGCCCGCGCCGCCTTCCGAATCCATTCGCTTGTGATATCTGTCAGCCGCTGAAGTTCCGCTCGTTCCTTGGCCACCCGAAAGCACTCGAGAATCGCCCCCACATTAGTTGCTGACGGATCCCATAGCTTCCTCCATTTCTGGCACTTGTGGTCTATGATGCGCTTGGTGGGGGTGCACCGGAACGCGATCATCGACTAATCGACCACAATCTCTTGCTTGGTGATGGGTCCGTCTTTGGTTGACTTGTGGAGCCTCCCGAGTGCCATTGGAGTCTCCATCCACGACGCAAAATCTTTGAATGAAGCTGAAATAACTCTCCTCTGACATCACGCACGCGAAGAGAGCGTCTCAAGATCCTCCTTGGGTTGCACTGACAAGCTCTCCGAAAAACTGCTGCCACTTGCGCCACGATGGATCACCCCGGCGCGTGCACGCAGTCTTGCGTGCACCTGTTCTGGGCACTCCTCCACAACCTCACCGATAGCAGACATACAAGATATTTCCTCTGCTTCCGTCCGTTCTGTCTACATTGATGCCAGGCCAGTCTGAAGAGTAGTGCGTCTCGCTGCCCGTGGTGATCTTACAGAGTGGGCTCATCAGAACAAACCCATGATGCATACAGCGAGCTGACCGAGGCGAGAGCTGAGGGATCGCTAAGCCTAAAGGCTACGGAGGACGTGAGAGAATATTGCATCTGACACTGCTCGGTAGGAACGAACCCATCCTCGGCCTGACAGCAGACCCACTGGGGCTCGGGAATGTGAAAGCCACCGGTGCAAACGCATTAGACTCGACCTCAACATTATCCCTACTTACTCTTGATTCGGGATTGGGGCTGGGCCCCGAAACAATGCAGCTTAAAACCGTCGTCCAACGCGCCCGCGCCTTACGAAAGGACAGAAGACGTCGATGCAGTGCCAAGCTTGCCCGAGTTACTTGAATTGGGCTGCTCCGCAGACTCACTGAAAGCGGGCTGGCTCAGGCTCGGGGGATTCCCCAGTGGTCCCGCGCGCCCGGGGGAATCCAGTGGACCCGCCCGAGGCCGGCGCCAGCGTCCAGCCATCTGATTACTCAAACCGGGCCCCCCAGGAATTTGTTTAAACTCGGACTCATGACCCCAGGGGTCCTCTTCAAAGTCAAACTCACACTCATGGGCCTCAGGCTGTGACAAACCTACAGGGTGAAAAGGATCCTCACCGAGCTCTTTTTGAAGGCCCTGAAAACTCACGGCACAGACCGCATCAAGTTCCAGAACGTGATTATCGGCTGCATCTCCGAAGAACTGATCAAACAACTCCTGTCTAGCTAAGCGCATCGAAGCTGCCTTTTCGTCGCTTTCCTGGCGGACGCGGTTGGACTTCGACACTGGAATTGGGGCGCCTTTGGGACGTGCCGCCCGCGGTAAGCTCCTCGGCAAGTCGAGCCGACGAGTGATCAGCTGCTGTCCCGACGACCTGAGCTGCAGCAGCAGCGGCCCGATGTGCGGGCGCCAGGGCGCTCTCGGCACGCCTCTGGGAGAGCCGAGGTGGGGGGATGGTCGAGCTGCTGCAGACGATGCAGCCGATGATGGAAGCCTTCGCTCCAGCATCGCACGTTGCCTCCGGCTCCGCCGTGACCACAGAAGACCTATCGACCAGCTTAGACAACAATGTATTATTCCTCATGGCAGTGGCATCGATATTGAAGCCAACAATTGCGGTGTATGGTAGTTGGCATGTGTTCAAGATCGCTCCCATTTTTTGATGTCTGCCAAGGCTGCCACTGCGGACCCCGACGCTAGGCGAGTCATGAATCACCATGGCAACGATATCGTATCCCTTCATGTACTGAGTTCTCGATTGGAAAGCGTCCACAAAAACATGGCCTGGCGCCCGAAACTGAAGGGAATACTGGGCCAACGTGAGGAAGCTCTGAACCTGCAAGTGCTGCTTGGACATGCGCCACTCACCTCCATCGTAAGATTTCGGTTCATTTTGAAACCATCTTGTCATGAGGCATCGCATGATTAGCTAAAACACGATGGCCAGCCCCTCTGGAGCTCTTGCCCCACGCTTTGAAACTATAGCCACTTCTGTGTGCCTCAGTGGTGCCCACGAAGTCGTAGCCGCCCTTGAGTCAGAACTTCCACGTCTCCTCACCCAGTGCTGTGACATTGGCGAAGAACATGGACCGAACCCCTGGGCGACCTCGCGCGACCCTGGCTGCCCCGCGCTCTCCTTCTGAGCGCTGTCGCCAGATAGTCGAAGCTCGGAGCCATCGACGCCGCCAGCGCCCGCCAAGCCCTTGCCCAGCTGAGCCGCCACCGCGCACTTGCCCTTGCCCATGGCCGCGCCCGCCTGCGCCTGCTGCTCCCTGAGGAGCTGCTGCTGCGCCTCGAACTTGGCCTCGGACAGCTTCTCCGCTGCATCGAGCAGCTCGTCGTCGCCCTTCGCGTCGGCTAGGTTGTCTGTCGCCCCGCCAGGCTGCGGCTGACCCTTGGGTGGATTCACTGCGTCGCCCCCTGAGGTCCCTGCCGCCTGGCTCGCGGCTGCGCCCCCTCTGCCGGCCTCCTTCGCCTTCATCTCCTCCTGCACTTTCTTCTTGACGAGCCTCTCGTATGCCTCTTTGCGGGGCCCTTCGGCCCTGGTGATCTGCCTCACGCCACGCGCCCATAGAGCGCGTCACTCCCTCTGCGGCAGCATGAGGGCCCACAGGCTGTGGTGGTGAGATCTGCTTCACCTGCGCCTGCAGAAGATTCTTCAGCTCCGCGCTGCCCGTCTCCTCGATGGCCTTTTGCAGCACACGCTTCACACTCACCTCCGGCTCTCCACCTCCACCACCCTTCCTGTTTTTCCTGGACGAGTTTGCCCGATCAGCAGCATCATCTTGCTGGGGTTGACCTTGCGGTGGAGACTGGGTGGGGTCCTGATGGCAAGACTTCGGCTTTTACAGCCTCACCTCCCGCTTGCAGTGACGGCACGACTGCTTTGATAAGATGTAGTTCCATCCATGGCGACCGCATCCAGATAATTGAGACCATGGACGAGAGAAACCTGTCATCACTTGTAATTGGTCGACGCAAAGAGATGCAAATTGATGCAACTTGGGTGTAGTGCCTCAAGCGCCTCGTGGAGGCCTGAATTAGGGCGCAAGCAAAATGCTCGAGCCCAAGTGCTTGAGGGAGGATGGGGATGAGGAAGAGACGGACGGGGAAGAGGGGGAGGAGGAGATGGAGGAGGAGGAGTAGGAGCGACGACCACCAGGCCAAGGACCCCGCGGGCGCGGGCTGCTGCGAGGTGCTGTTCCTGCAGGCCGACGCGCTAATCCCGATCCTAACCAAGAGGGGCCTGATCGGGCAGCTGGCGTGGGCGTGCCCCTCGGGCCTGCAGATGCTCGAGCCTTCACTTCCTCCTCCTCCTCCTCCTCCTCCTCCTCCTCCTCCTCCTCCTCCTCCTCTTCCTCCTCCGCCAGGTCGGGCAGCTGGCCCGGGCGTGGCCCTTGCGGCTCGACTCGATCTCGAGCGAGCTCGATTCCGATTCGCTTCGGCTTGTGAGTTTTTTTGTTTGATTCGGCGTTTCGACATTGGGCGGAAAGGGGGGGGGGAGGGGGGGGGGATCTGGCTCCAGACCCCTGCTTAGTGCGACTGTTTGCAAGAGTGCGTGCTGCGGGGGAGACCCCACCTGCTCGAACCAGGCGCCAAAAGTCAGCCATGATCTACATGCTCCACCGGGGGGGAGGGGGGGTGGGGAGGGCACGCGCCGATCGGCAAAACAACGAAGAACAAACGATCACGTTCCGATATGGATTCCGATGTTTCAACGGAAGCTTTGCCAGCCTGCCGATCTCCCACGGGTCGGCTTCTCCCAACTTGGCCGATTCAATTTGTCGATTCGATTCTAGGTTGTTGTTGCCCTCTGGACTTGCAGATGCTCGAGCCTCACACGGTAGGCGCATCGAGTAAGAAACCAGATTGCCAGCAGGCGGCGCACGGAAATGTCTTATCCCACGATGGCCTTGGGGACACAGAATCCCTGGGACATCTCAGACAGCTCAGGGATCGACGATTAACGCGTCCTTAGATCTCGCCTGGCGAGATTTCTTATCGTATGCACTTATTGTCTCTAGCCCAGGTGATCTGACCGACGTTCGGCCCTCAGAAGAGAGTATTGCAATAGCGTGCGCAGAAAGCGTCCATGGAGCAAGTCGAGCATCTGCCCCCGCAGGCCATAAGCGTGGAGCTGGGTGGTAGATGATGATGATGATGATGATGATCATGATGATGATGATGATGATGATGATGATGATGATGATGATGATGATCATGATCATGATCATGATCATGATCATGATCATGATCATGATCATGATGCTGATGTTGATGCGTATTGTTATGGTGAGGATTATGCTGCTGCTGGCAATGATGATACTGATGATGTTGACGAGGATGAGGATGTGAGTGAGGATGGTTATGTTAATGATGAGAAGGACGATGGTGATGAGGATGATGATGATACTGATGATGCTGGTGATGACGACGATGATGATGCTGTCGAAGAGTCCGGTGACGCTGATGATGATGCTGATGATGATGAGGATGTTGCTGATGGTGATGATGCTTCTGGTCATCATTATGCGTATGCTGGTGATGATGACGCTGATGGTGGTGATGATGTTGATGTTGCTGCTGATGATGGTGAGATTGATGTTGTTGATGATGATTGTGGTTATGATGATGTTGTTGATGGTGATGGTGGTGTTGATAATGGTGATCAAAGTAGTGATGATGATGGTGGTACTGGTGGTTATGATGATGGTGATGATGCTGACGATGACGATGACGATGACGATGACGACGACGATGATAATGATGATGATGATGATGATGATGATGATGATGATGATGCTGATGCTGATGATGATGATTATTGTGGTGGTGACGGTGATGGTGATGACGATGTTAATGATGCGTATGATGATGAAGATGGTGCTTACGATGATGAAGATGATTATTGTGGTGGTGATGATGATTGGTGATGACGATGCTGATGATTCGTTTGATGATGCTGATGATGATGATGATGATGAGGATGAGGATGAGGATGAGGATGATGATCATGATGATGATGATGATGATGATGATGATGATGATGATGATGATGATGATGATGATGATGATGATGATGATGATGATGAGGATGAGGATGAGGATGAGGATGAGGATGATGATGATGATGATGATGATGATGATGATGATGATGATGATGATGATGATGATGATGATGATGATGATGATGATGATGATGATGATGATGACGAGGATGGTGGTGGTGATGATGATGAGGAGGAGGGGGAGAAGGAAGAGGAGGAGGAAGAGGAGGAAGAGGAGGAAGGACAGCCCCTAGGGGAAGAGCATCGCGAGTCTGAAACAGCAAATTTGGAGGAGGAGGAGGAGGAGGAGGAGGTGGAGTAGGAGGAGAAGACGATTTTGGACCTCCGCGGGCAGGGGGCCCTCATGGGCGGCGGGGGGAGGATCTCGTCGTCGCCACGGCTGGATCCGCCTCGAAATCCCGGTCAGAGCCCCGTCCGGGTGGTGGCGATCTGGAGCCCGACGGCAGGTACGCCCGCGGCTTCCTCCACTTCCTGCAGAAGTCTGCGCCCCCCCTCTGCGACTGGCCGAACGACCTCGACCTGCCCTTTGGCGCGGACGAGGTCATCGCCGCCATGCCGAAGGACGCCACGGCCGTTGTGGGCCAGTGCGCCATCGACGTGCTGCGGGCGCCCACTGGCTCGCTCCTCACCGGCTGGCTGCGGGAGGACACCATCGAGAGGTTGGCCACGGAGGTCCCGGCTGGGGGCCAGGGCCACCTCGGGAGCCTTGAGACGGGGGTCAATGCAAGCGGGGGTCATCGTGGCCGCGAGGCGGCCGCGCCTATTGGCTGACCCGAGTTTGCGAGGACCTGCGTTGCAGTTTTTTTTCCTGCATTGCAGTTTTTGGTTTCCTGCTGACCCGGGTCTGGATTGACCCGGGTCAGAAGATCCCCGAACAGCGTTCCAGAGCATCCCCTGGGACGCTTCCAGGGGCGTCTAGCAGCGCTCCCGAACGGCCGCGGCGCCCGATGCAGCCTCCAGGGCCGCTGGATCTCAGAGAGGCCCGATCTGTCTGCGCCCCCAGACATGATCGCGTCGCAACACAACTCAGGACGGGAGGTTTGGGGCTGTTTTCGGCCTCGTGCGGCCCTCTCCGGGCCTTGGGACCCTCAAACAAGGACTCAGGATGAAAAACCGGTCCCGGGGAACGTGTCGGGATTTCTGGGGGCCCCGCACTGAAAAAATCACGAAGTCGCATGGCTGGGTCCCAGTCCGATGTTGTCCGGGCCCTGGCTTCGCCTCGGAGGTGCAGGCCGGCCGGTGCGCGCTCCTCACGACGGGCCGCGGGGGGGTGGTGCGCTGCGTGCCGATCGTGGTGCTGCAGATGCGGCGCCGGGACGGGCGGATGCTCGTGCGCATGAGGCTCACGTGCAGGGCCGACGGCGTCCAGGACTCGTCCGTGGTGTGTGTGTGTGTGTGCGTGTGTGTGTGTGTGTGTGTGTGTGCGTGTGTGTGTGTGTCGCCAGGGGTGAGAGGTCGGCCCGAGGTCCGAGGGGAGAAGCAGGACGACCATGACCAATATGATGGGCCTGTTTTCCACCACCGCCACCATAAGTTGAAGGGGGAGAGGGTCCTCCTCCTCCTCCTCCTCCTCCTCCTCCTCCTCCTCCTCCTCCTCCTCCTCCTCCGCTTCGTCCTCCCTCTCCTCCACCTCCTTGCCCCTCCAACTTATGGTGGTGGTGGTGGTGGTGGAAAACAGGCCCATCACAAGATGTCGCGGGATCTTGCCGACGCCAATCCTGGTCACGGTCCGTTCCGGCCGTCGCCGAGTCGCGAGGGTGATCCACGAATCGACGGCGACCAAGGTGGACGATGGCCAAGATCGACACCGATTTTTCCGCGTTCAGTCGTGGTCATGGTTTAAGCTTTCTACCCTTCCAGAGGTGGCCCCTGCTTTTCCAGGGAGGCCACGGGTGGCTTCCAGACCCAGGCCTCCAACGCATGGAAAAAGCAATGCGGCGGCACGCCGCGATTTTTTCTGCCTCCAGGGGCCCTCGACGCGCCTTGGGACGGTCAGAAACGGCTTGGGATGAACAGCCGGCCTTTGGGAAAAGGGCGGGGCCTCCAGGGACCCCGTGTAGATAAAACAATGCGTTGGACCTCTGTGGGGCACCCCGTCACGAGGGCCCAGGGGGGCCCAGAGGACCCAGACTGGTGCGGGAAGATAGATGGCGGAACCTGTGGGCAAGGATCACTTCTGGCAGCCTCCGACAGGAGGCTACCTGTCAGCTGCCGGGGGGCAAGCAGGAGGTGGGGGAGCCTCCCGACGGTTGCTTCCAGCGGCTGCTGGACGGGAAGCTCAAGGCCCTGGCCGACGGCATCATGGTGGTCGGGGTGGAGATCAGGGGCAAAGTTAGGGGGGGTATAACTAGCCTCCGTGGAGGGATACATCGACCCCACTCGCCTATTGATCGCCGATGAGGGGTCCGATGGCCCCGCTCCGCCCAGGAGCGTGCGGATTTGCTATCGGGGGCCTATCGCCGATCTGTCAGCGATGTATCGCTGATTCAAGCTCGATGTTTTCCCCCCTGAGCTGGTCCCCCCCGAACGTTACCCCTCAGGAGAGACAGAGCGAGCAGGACAAGTCCTGGAAGTTCGGCGTGCCGACGAGGTATGTCCGCACAGTCGTGTCGGCGGAATGGCTGCAGCAGGAGGGGGACGTGGGGCCCCTCGATCAGTTCATAGTGCCTGGGGTGGACACCTTGGAGTTGGCGTTGAGCCAGAGGTCGAGCGGGGGAAGCTCGTTCATCAGGAGGCCGAAGAACGAGCCGAGCTTTCCAGGGGAGGGGGAGGTCCTCATGCTTCCAGGAGACGTGGGGTTCTACGGTTGGCTCACCGAGGACCAGTTCATCTTCTTCAAGGTTCCTCCTCCTCCTCCTCCTCCTCCTCCTCCTCCTCCTCCATTCTCATGTCTCGGGGGGAGGGGGGGGGATATCCATCCAAAACCAGTGATGACCCAACTTTGATCCTCCTTCTCCTCTGGCTCCGCCGCGTGCTGCTCCTCCAGGGCCCCAAGGGTCAGCACAACTTGTTCCACTGGCTCACGCAGCTGTACAAGGCGGTCGGGGTTCATCCCGACGACCTGGACAGGGACGAGACGAATCCAGAGGTCGAGTCTCCGTTGTTCTTCCCAGGCAGCAGTCGACAGGTCGACGAGGGGCTTCCTTCCTGCTCTTCCTCGTCCTCCTCCTCCTCCTTTTTTTCCTCCTCCTCCTCCTCTTTTTTTTCCTCCTCCTCCTCCCTCCTCCTCCTCCTCCTCCTCCTCCTCCTCCTCCTCCTCCTCCTCCTCCTCCTCCTCCTCCTCCTCCTCCTCCTCCTCCTCCTCCTCCTCCTCCTCCTCCTCCTCCTCCTCTCTCCTCTCTCCTCTCTCCTCTCTCCTCTCTCCTTTCCGTAGCCGCTTTGGCTCAATATGCGAGGCTTCTCGGAGAGTCAAGTGGATACCGCTAGTCCGCGGCAAGCTCTTTGTGTCTCTTCACGCTCCTGTCGGTGACGTCGCGCAGCCTCCTCCGCTGTGCCATGGCGCCGTCGCGCTGGTCCGCTCCCGTTGGAGGCCGTGGTGCTGGAGGGCCGCCCCCGCGCGCAGCCACCGAACGCTCGCCGTGGCTCTGCAAGTCTTGCCACACCGCCAAGGGCCAGCGTTTCCGCAACAGCGGGTGGAGCCTCGTCTGCGCGGCTTGCAAGCTCCACAAGGGCGTGGCTTTCGGCGAGAAGGCCGTCAGTGGGAAGGAGCCCTCCACCCGAGGCAGCGGGCCTGGCAAGGGCGGCGCCACGGGCGACTTCGGCCCCTGGCCGTACGCGGCCACGGAGAAGAAGCCCCGCGAGATGCAGTCCAAGCGCGCCCAGGAGTTCGAGCTGGCTCGCCAGCAAGGAGGAGCTCGCGGACCAGGGGCCGACGCTGCAGCGGCGGAAGCCCCCCCCCAAGGCCACGACGCAGGACGACGCTGCCGAGGTCTCCGCCCGGCCCTGGTCCAGGCGGGCGAGCACATGGGGGGCGACGAGCAGGAGAATGTGCAGCGCTGGAAGGCGGAGCTTGGCAACCTCAAGGCCTGGCGGCAGGAGAGCCTGCCTCTCGGGGAGCGCCTCGCTGCATGCAACCGCGATATCAAGCGCCTGGAAGGCTTCGACCAACCGCGACATCGCCGCAACCAATGCCGACATCGAGCGGCTCGAGGTCAAGCTCGCCCTTCTTGGGCGACCTCGGCCAGCAGATGGTCCAAGGGGGCAAGGAGGCGGAGGTCATCCCCGTCCTGGAGAACGTGGTCGCGAAGCTCGAGGGCCACTTGACGTGGGCCTGGACGGGGCGGAGGCCGTCGAGATCAGCCAGCTGTTCCTCCAGGCCAAGGAGCGCCTCGCCCAGGATATTTCGGAGGCAAAGCCGCAGCGCCCCAGCGCCCCGCAGATGGAGCCGCCTGCCCCGCGCCCTGCGCCGGCGCAAATCCCCGCGGCCACGGCGTGGGAAACGTCGGCCTTGAGCCGAGCTTTTCTCCGCCCCCTCGGCCAGCAGATCCCAGAGGACGACGAGGAGGCCCGCGTCGCGGCCGCGAGTGTCGCGGAGGCGCACGCGGCGGCCACCCTCGCCGCGAAGAGGAATAAGACGGACAGCGGCAGCGACCTGCAGCCCAAGGCGAAGGAGGACATCCGCGCAGCTGGCGAGCCGGCCGGGAGCGCAGGCCGTCAGGCGCTCGGGCGCAGTTCGGACCGCAGCGGGCCTGAGGACGCTGGCGCGCCTCCTCATGCCGATGGCCAACCCGAGACTGGCGGTGGAGGCTCGCGGCGGCCTTCGCTCCAGCTCGGACGTCCACATCCTCTGCGGCAACATCGCGAAGAGGAGCCCGCAGGTGAGTTCCTCCAGTCGGGCCGCGCCGAGGCCTTCGATGGGTTGGCGTTCGCGCAGCCCCATCGGTTCGAGGCCCACACTGGAGGCATCATCCAGGCCTTCCGTAAGGAAGAGTGGAAGGCGACGTACTCCCTCGGCATTTTCGCCGGCAAGGGCGGCGTCGTCGGCGGCGAGGTCATGGCGGTCCGTTCGCACCTCCAGGCCGCCATCTTCGACCACTGGCGGGGCCCGAAAGGCGCCTCGTTGCGCGGCTTTGCCCCGATGGTCCTCCACGCGGCGGGCAACATCGCGGTCGCCCCCGTCCACCTGCGCCATGCGTCGGGGCCCCACAGGCGCAACAGGGCCACGCTTGTCGCCCCGGGGGCCTTCCCGACGCAGCTCCGCACGCCAGGGGCTGCGGTGGGCGACTGGGGCCACTTGCCACGCCAGCTCGGCGCCGCTCAGTGGGTTGCCGGACTCGGGGGCGAGCTCGCCCTGCCCGACGTCGCGGTCACCTGCGACAGGGCCAAAGGCGCTTGCTGGACCGCGACATCGCCGAGAAGGGCTTCGCGCACCTGCGCCGGCTGAAGGCGCGCCTGCGGGCCCCCTGGGCGACGCGCCGCGGCCTCGCGCTCATCTTCGGAGAAGCCCGTCGACGTCGGCAGCGCCAGGTCCTGGACGCCCCGCCCTGCCCCCCTTGCGGCCCAGCGCCGCGAGCCCAGGGCCGACCCCGACAGCAGGAGGTCGCGACAGCGGCGGGAGGCGCTGGCCAAGAGGGCCGCGCGAATCCCCGAGGATATCGGCCGCGATTTTTCGTGCTTCAACCAGGCCGCATGCCGCGACCGCGTAGCAGGCGCCAGCAGGGAGGGCCAGTCGGAGCCGACCGAGGTCGGCGTCGCGGCCAGCGGGCGCGAGGCGGCCCACCCCCAGCTACTACCCAGCAGGGTGGCAGCCTCAACCAACCTTAGCGGCGAGTGGGAGGCCTTGAGGAGGAGCCTGAGGACGCGGCACAGCCGGGCCCCACCGACGACGCCGGCGCGCCGGCAATAGGCCCAGAGTGCGCGCACATCTTGAGCAGCCAACTGCAGACCGCCAGCCAGCCTCCCGGCCCTCCATTGGGGTTGCAGGAGGCCCGAGCCTGCGCCCCTATGCCGCCCGCCCCTTTCCCTGTCCCCGAGGAGGCGCGGGCTGCGGCGGCCGCCCAGCGCAGGCGCAGCGAGGCGCTTCAACCCCGGACCCCTCGGCGTCCGTTCATCGAGACGCGCGCGGCGCAGGCGCGGACGCTGGTCCACATCCACGGCTCGCGGGTCTCCCAGCTGGAGGCGGCCATCCTCGCGCGCGAAGGGTGGGGCGAGTCCAACTGGGATGCGATGCGAGGCAGGGCCAGAGGTTTTGGGCTCACCTGGAAGCTCGCAGCGGCCATCCCTGGCCGCGCGCGCCTCCGCGACCCCGAGGCCGACGCGTGGGCCACCAACCGCGCCAGCTCCACGGCCGTCGCCGCGTTAGCAGCCAGCGGCGAGGACTCTAGGCAGGCGCTGCGGCGACAGGACCTCCACCGCTCCACCCTGCGAGACATGCCGCGAAGCTCTTGGGCGAGTTCGAGGCGCGCGCGGGCGGGGCCACGAACCTCGGCGCGAGGACCCCACGTGAACTGGTTGAGCTTCGGGACCTCGCACGGCTACTTGTTGGCGGCGTTGGCAGGAGAGCCCTTCGGGAGGGCAGACGCAGCTCTGCGGCCAGGGCGGGGAAGGCCTCCATGGGGCGGCCCCACCGATGGTCCAGCGACGGCGACATGGAGCGCCTGGGGGGCCAGACCAACGGCGGCGTGTTGGCGAACCCCATCGACGCCACGGCGACCAAGGCGGCCACTTGGGCCAAAGTGCACACCGCCCCGCACGGGAAACAAGCCATGCCGCCAGCGCTGGCGCAACTACGTCTTCGAGCTGCTGGCGACGACCCCCCACCGATCACGCTAAACGGACTCAACACAGCCACGCGTAAGCTCGGGCCGCGGAAGGCCCATTAGAGCAGGACAGAACGCATTGCAAGCACATGCAAGTACAATGGGGGCAGGCCACGCCTAGGGCAAGGGCAAGGTAGAAGTAGGATAGAGCACTGTGGGACTCATAGAGCGTAGAATTCTAGAGCGCAGAAGACACGACCATATCTGAACAGGCCAATGACATTGGCATGCACTTGGTTTGCGCTGGAATGGTGCAAAGACAGCGATACCAGGCTGCTGGACTGTAGCTCGTAGATTTGGACGCCCATACAAAATATCAGACACATTACAGCGCTACGGGAGCTCATTGCAGCGTTGCCATCTCTAGATTGCTTGCTTGGAATGTATATTCCCTAGAACTCTGAGACACATTCCAAGACAACCTTGTTTGGAAGGTTTGGTTCCAGACGCCCAGACAGCCGTCATACAACATTTGCTCCAGTAGGATTCAAGCCGGATTCGTCTAGATGATTTTCCGGGAGCCCATAATATGTACTGTATAACATGGCCAGGCATCGGTAGTTTGGTCGTGTTGGATATGTTTGCCGGGAGTCATCAAAACCAATTCAGAAACATAGCCAGGAAAGTTCGGGAATGTGTGTGTGTGTTGGGAATACGTTGTCCCGGAAGCCCCATAATCTTTATTAAAAACATGCTCGAGTAAGGTTTAGGAAGGTTTGTCCGGACGGGTTCCCAAAAGAGTATGGAGGAAGGTTGTGGGTTCGCGCTCGCGTTTTGGATGGTTTTCTGTTCAAGGCTTTCCTCCCCCCTGGAGTTCGTAAAAACCTTCGTGCGGAAGATTTTGCCATCTGCAGATCATGTTTGCCAGGAAGAGGACGCGGAAATTCCAGCGCTGTCTCGCGCAAGCGCGCCAAGTTTGTCCTCCCCCATCTCCTCTTCCCTCCCCCTTTCGCTGCTGTTCGTCCTCGTCCTCCTGCCTCTTCCTCCTTCTCCTTCTGCTCATCCACTTGCTCATCCGCCACCTCCTCCTCATCCTCCTCCTCCAGTCTACGCAGCTCTCTGTTTCTCTCCGACTGCGTTCAACACGAGGGGGTCTATCTGATGCTCCAACTCAGCAATTGGTAGGGATGGGGGGAGGGGTTAGGCTGTCAGATGTGGCGCGAGCGAACCAAGCTTGCGAGTCCACTCCTCTCCTGCCTCCTGCTCCTCCTCCTCCTCCTCCTCCTCCTGCTGCCCCTATTCGTCTTCTTCCTCCCGGCTCAAGCGGAATGCTCAAGGTGGTCGGCGCGACCCCGAAGGTCCCCGACCAGCAGCCCTCCCAAGGGCGGGCCCGACTCCCGCAGCATCCCCATGGCGTGCGTTCGTGCAG